TTATGCATAAATTCAATTTTTGCTTAATTTGAAACATGTTATAGCTGTTACAATGTGAATAGTACTCTCATATAAAATATAACATTATTTCTGTCATTTAATTCTGCAGAGGGAGGCCACAGAGACAGCAGGAGCCATGTCATCCGCAGGGAGAGCAGACCCAGAGGAATCTGTAGAATCTTCCTCCTCCTCCTCCTCCTCCTCCTCCTCCTCCTCCTCCTCCTCCTCCTCCTCCCATCCTCCTCCTCCTCCTCCTCCCATCAGGAAGTCAGCCATGGCAGAACTGTTTGGTGAGCTCTTCAACACTGAGGAGAGAAACAAGCCCACTTTGCAGCTGGTGAAGGGAGAGGTTACCTCATACATGGCAGCGGACAGCACTTCACTGGACTCCGACCCACTTGCATGGTGGAAGAACAATGAGGCCAAATATCCTCATGTTGCCATGTTGGCAAAGCGCTACCTGGCTGTATCTGCTACCTCTGTCCCTAGCGAGAGGGTGTTCTCCACAGCAGGAGACATTGTTAGTGCCAGCAGATCTGCCCTTTCAGCAAGCAATGTGGACAAGTTAATTTTTCTAAAAAAAAAACCTGAAAATACAATGAGAAGCAATTTGCCGGCTAATGTCAATCTGCTGGCTGCTCAGGTCTGAGTACTAGTATTACGAACAGAGTACTACAGTACAGTTCAAGCACAGATTTCAGTTCATCGAAATGCTGCACTTTTATGTTCATTTTGTTATATTTTTTATTTATTAGAGTTCACAGTTTAATAATAATAAAAAAATATATATATATATTTTATGTTTTGTGAGAATTTTTTCTGCTGTACCGAAAACGTACCGAACCGAACCGTGACCTAAAAACCGAGGTACGTACCGAACCGAAATGTTTGTGAACCGTTACACCCCTAGTGCTTACTATCACCTCATTTGTGATTTGTCATCGCTGACTTTTTCAATGGGAGAAGTGACATTTTTTGTTTTGAACAAGAGCAGTGATTTTTGGCTCATAGGATGTCAATGCAATCCAAGACTGCTGTCAGTCAACGACTCACGAGTGGTACTTTTTATTGAGTTCATGTGTGAAAAGCTTGATTCACATTTGTATGTTGATCCAAACATACTGAGCACACAGATCGCTACTTTCTGAACATTAGGGAACTGCTGTTTTTTTACATCACTCCAAAACTTCGCTGGCCGCCCGTTAGTGCGCTGCTCTTGTGCCATGGTTACAGATGAATGCATGTCAATAAGTTCCAGTGTAAATTTCCCCTCGTCGATGGAGGGGACCACTTCCTTTGCTCTGGTTGATACGTCCCCCTCTATTGCAACAGTGAAGCGGTCTCTGGCAAAGCCCATCACCTCTGTGGGCAGAGCAAGTCCATCCAATCGACCGGCAAAGTTCTCTTTCAACCTCGCAATGAAATCTGTCATCACATCCGTGATTTGTGCCGGGGATGTGATGTGTTTGCGGAGCGTCGGAAAATGCAGCATCCGACCCGTACTCAAGTCGGTCCAGCTTGACTTGGAATGCGCGCATCTGCTACACAAGATCAATGACCGTTTTGTCTCTGTTTACGCTTCAGAGTTGAGAGAGACATGTTTTAGAGTTGCTATCATAGGACCACCGTTACAAGCACCACTAGATGTACTTTCAAAAAACGTGTTGCGTTGTGGTTTGGTGGTTTCTATGCAATGCGGAGTGTTGCGTTCATGGTCTGTACTAGTGTAGGAATTTGGCCACGGTAGGCTGGGTCACTCGGGAGTTGGTTGTGGGCCGCATCTGGCCCGCGGGCCGCCATTTGAATATGCCTGCTCTATAGGAATGAATGAGGCCCCGCCTCCCACGCTGTATCCAGTTCTTATTATACATCCATGGCCGCGCCTCGCTCTCAAGGCTGCGGGCGTCTTTGTCCCGCGAGATTTCAACGTCTCATATAGGCGGGCCTCCAGAGCATAGACTGTAGGCTTCTCAATACTCAAATTTCCCCTCCTCGACTCCCCTCCTCGGTTCCCCTCCTCGAGACTTAGACCCGCCCACAGGAGATGCGAGCGGAGGACCGAGGAGGGGAACCGAGGGGAACCGAGGAGAGAGGAGGGGAAGCAGCAGATGTTTAAAGAAATGAGAACTCCTCTCCTCTGAGCGGTCATTTTAAAGAGACGTCCGTTCATTATTACGTGGCAACAGCTGCATCAGCTGTCGAGTGTTTTGTCATAGCGCTGTATCTCTGTTAGATCAGCTGAACATTGTTCCCCCACATATTTACTTTGAACTCATTGAGAGTGCGGTATAATGAGACAATAACAGGCTACAGATGCGGACACACACACACAAATATATTTATATAAATATATACAATTTAAAGTATGAGAGCACTCTCATAATAACGTAACACAATCAGAGACTGGATATATCCCCCCCTCTCTCTGGTCGCTGAAATGGGGAATTGAAATTACGGGCCAAAAGTTGTATTTACAAGTAGGCCTATTAAAAGTAAGCAGAGGACACCAAACCAACTGAGACCCGTCTGTCCGCCGCATTTACGCACTGTACAACACACACCTACACACTGTACAGTACCACACACACCTACAGCTCCTAAAGCATAAGCCGTTGTGTATTTTATTATGTGAAGCAATGGTCTTAGAAAAATATCGACTCTTTGTTTGTAGATATCTACTAAACTAAAGCAAATAAAGAGAGTAGGCCTGTTATACTGAGTGATATATATTATACACACTGCTCTGCTTTCTGCATGGACCTTACAGCTGTTCTCTCTGGAAACATCGCGACGCGATGAAAGCAGTTTCTAAAATAATATCCAGGGGATGCATGCATAGCTGTCATTGGCTGAGATAAGTCCGGCCGTGCGTCACGCCTCCACCGCTCCCGGAAATGCATCCGTGGAGGAACCATCAGTGTATCCTCGGTTACGGCCCCTACACACGGCGGCGTGCGTTACCGCTTGGCGGTGGGCGTGTCTGAAGCTTGGGGATTTTTTACGAACAACGCGACCAACAACCAATCACATGAATGTCCCGCCCCGGACATACAAAGCAAATCATTCAGGCTACATCCATGCTGGCTAAATATACTGTCTATGCTTGCTAGCTGTCCATTCAAACGAAGTACACTGGATATAAACTCCCCAAATCGGCAAACACCTACCAGTTTCACCCACTGTCTCTGCGACCTCCCCCCATGCCTGGCTCCTCCGGTTTGTATCCCTGTATGTAAAGAGGGACTGGTCATATAGTACCGCCACGATCATTTTCTCCTCCATTTTTTGACATATGGGAAATAACTGCGGTCTGGCTCTCCCAACATACACGCGGTTTGATTGGCTAGCGCTTGTAATGTCAGATTTGCATACGCGGGATTTGATTGGCTGACGCCTCCGTCGAGGCGGCACAAGTAGAACATTGCTCTACTTTTGCAGCGAGCACCGCGAGAGAAGCTACGCTTTGCTCCCACAATGCAGTTCGGCGAATCGTGACGTCACCCCATTCAAAGTGAATGGGCAGAAGCGTTGAAGCGGCAACGCACACCGCCGTGTGTAGGCTCTGTTACGGCCCGTCTACACTACAGGCGTCAAAAAAGCTTGAAGCTGGCCGTGTCTGAAGCTTGGCGATTTTTTGCGAGCAACGCGACCAACAACCATTCACATGAATCTCCCGCCCCCGACATACAAAGCAATAGCAATGTTAAAACGAAGTAAACTGGATATAAAATCCCCAAACAGGCGAAAACCTACCAGTTTCACCCACTGTCTCTGCCACCTCCCTCCATGCCTGGTTCCTCCGGTTTGTATCCCGGTAAATAGTTCTGGTCGGAAAGAACCGGGTGATTTGCTACCGTAATTTCTCGTTTGGAATATGAGGAAATGAACTGCGGTCTGGCTCTCCCAGCTTGCACGCGGTTTGATTGGCTAGCGCTTGTACTGGCGGGAATTGCAAAAACGGGATTTGATTGGCTGACGCCAGCTTCGAGCAAGCATCGAGCCTCAAAAGTTGAACATTGTTCAACTTTTGACGCCGATAGACGCTCGCGATGCTTGCAACGCCTTGCCATGCTACCCACAATGCAGTTCGGCGAAGTTTGAAAATATCCTACGTCACCCCATTCAAATGAATGGGCGAAGCGTTGAAAGCATTTTTTGACGCCTGTAGTGTAGACGGGCCGTTAGAGCTCCTCCAGAGAGCCTCCTTGACGCTCGATACTTGGTGTGCATTTAGAGAAATGAGATGTCCTTCAAAATTCATTTCCGGGTCACTACCGGAGGACCGAGGAGTCGAGGAGGGGAAATTTGAGTATTGAGAAGCCTCTTGTATAAGCTCCAGAGCAAGTCGGACAAAATGACTAACCATCATGCAACGCACTAGCAAGACGTTGATCGCAACTGCGCAGGTCTCGCTTGTCTCAAACAAGCCTGTGGGAGAGACTCTCACCCAAATCAAAACACAGGAGCGATTTGCTTTCTTCTCGTTAGGTAGTTTACATTTAGTTTAGACAAAGTTAGCAAGCGATAGCAGTCAGAAACCTACATTCCAACACAATTATGTATTGCTTGATCACTTACCTTAAGACAACATTGTACAACACCAAACGTACATTTCCAAGCGGCCTCTCCTCTTCTCCTTACATTTAAAAGTCAGCGCCATTCTACACTGCGCATGCTCAGTCCCGAGGTTTCTTTATAAATATTTCTTCTTCTTCTTTGGTTGTAAATGGCAGTTTACCCCAGCACCCAGCGTCTATTAACACATCTATGGTCTCATCACGCAACAACATACGTAAAATGCTTTCTTCATGCTGCAACTGATACTTTGTAAAAAACAGAAAGAAGTATAATATTGATTATTACCAATTGAAGTTAACTAATGCACATTGATCAAGTCCAAATATATAATCAAGGCAATGGGGTCCCTATTTAAGAACAACACATTATGTTATTCAAAATTCCCTTTTGTTATTCAGAACAAAACCAAGCTTCACATTGCGTGTTTGATATAGCTCTTCTTAATATTTATTCTTTAGACTCAGGGGAAACTGCTGATTTTCTTTACAGAACAATTTGCATAATATCTCAACACATCCTGTGTACAACCACAAAACCATAACGTTAAATTCCTTGCTTTTACACGGTGTGAAAAACAAGACAATTTTACAAGCATATTTCTTTACAGTCAGCATACAGATAAATCTATACATATCTCTGTCTCTTTTAAACATAATCTGTAGGCAAAATATACAAACAAACCATCAACAAAACATGCAACATCCAACACATAAAGTCTTCGACAACTATTAAAGTTGAATAGATTTGTTTTCCTTTGTGTTGTTTTCAGCCGTGTATGGGACGTGGTTGCACATATAGTCATTGGTTGACAGAACATGTTTTGATTGATTACACAGTCAACTCCCCTTGTACAACTATAGACACACATTGCTGTACAGTTATAAGTCTTTTGTGATTTTTTTCGACACTCACATGCTCAAACTTCAGACAATATAAACATTCAATCTTTGTAGAAAATAAACACTTTATATACACATGTCAAAGGACTTGAGTCACATTCACACCTGTCAGAACGACAACACATAGATGGTTTCACAATTACAGGCAACAGCTGATTTGAACAAACATTAATTAGCTTGAGGGAAGTCTAATGAAACACGAGGGGTTGACTGAGCATTTAGGGAATATGTCTTATTTACTGTACTTTACAGAGACTGGTAATTAGACTATGAGCATGATGTAGACAGGTGATTGTTCCCCAAATTGTGCATTGTGTTGAGAAACCCCAACGTGTCTGCATGTTTTTTTCTTTTGCCACATAGATACAAAATGCACACCACAATATTTTCTGCCACCACATACACCATTATTCAGTTCATTTCAATGCAGAAACACAAAACATATAATCTTGCATGTCATGACAGTTATAAGGAGACAAGAAAATAAACTATGTAATAATAAAGTGCACCATCTCTATGAAGATGTTAACAGCTTTTAACATCAATTTATATTAAAATCAGTAAAAAAAATCTATTTTATATTTTCTTCAATAATGTACAAATTAAAGTGTTTTTCTTTTTTCTGTAAGCCATTTTTAGACCATATGTTCACATAAATAACATTTAGTTCCAAAAAAACAAATGCATTCAAACACATCTATGTTGCATAGAATTAAAAATCAATGTTTCTGGAATAAAAAAACAAGGTTGGCACAACAAAATAATTATTGGAAAACTCAGCCACATTCCCTTCATATTATATTCTCTTGTTACCCTATGGTATAAGATTTAGGTGACATCTTGTTTTAGGTGTGTTTCTTCTGTTATATTTATTTCTTTTAAAAAAATTGCATCAGCCCTATGATATGCCCTATGATTTCCCCCCTATTCTTTAGATATGGTGGCAACACTCTGCAAGATAATTGTGGCCCCATCTGAATGACTGAAAATATGTGTGAACCCCAATGGGCCTGAGTGAGTGTTTTGGTCACAGGCAGTGTAAGAGGCTGGTTCACTGTGTTGTGGGAGTCACTGACACAAAACAGCTTGGTGAGTTTTACAGCACAGCCAGAAACACAGAGGAACCTTGACATTTGACTGGTAAGAACATTTTTTCTTCATTTGAAATGTTTTTAGGTAAAACTAGGACGGGCGTTACTTACACACAGAAAGCAGAGCCGTCATACTGAGGTGATGACAGTTGCAGACACACGTATGGTTTTGACACAACTTGTGAATTACATGTCCATACCAACAGTGTAATTACATGATAGGCCACACATAAATAAATATTAGCATACTCTAAGCAACAGCCTTAAAGTAAAAATGTCATACACTTGAAACAGATGTAATAAACTCTTCTCATCCTCAACAGTTGGCTTGTGACTTTCAACGCAGCAAGTGATTTGGACTTTGAAACTCATAACTGCTGGTCCTTGTATTGTAATTCAACCTGCCGAACACAATAGCATGCTAGTGAAATAGCTAAATGTTACTGCTTGTTGACATTTAAAATGTTGTAATCCATCACAGCCCTGTTGAATATCTAATGGTGCATCAGTGTGATCAAAGGACTAAAGGAGCTTTTTGTCATGAACATCCATGAGCTCACATAGGTCCACATTCACATAACGGCTATTAAGACTGCCTACACCATAGACTAGAGCAGCCTACTGGATTGTCAGTGCGTCACTCACAGCCTCAAACAGACTCTATTTTGTATTATATATAATCTAGTAATATGAGAACAACTCTTGTACTGTATATGTTATTAGATATATTCTGCATCTGATATCTTTGTATATTATATAAACATCACACTGTACAATGTGGTTCTCTGATATGCTCTGTAATCTGCATGTGTGGTATCTACAATCTGTGCTGTACATATTCTATCATCACATAGCAAAAGTCATCTGTCTGACTATGTTTTTTTATATTTTTACATAAAACTGAAAGACTTTCATACAGAAAAAATATGCATTCCTTCATATTTAACATTTCAAGACCACTGATGTCCACACACATCACAACCATCATATGGACATTTCAAAAATGACTCTCAGATGAAGAAAACACAATACAAATGTGGATGATTTATTTTTCCCTTTTTCCCTCTGAGAGATATGTTAGCTTAGTTGCAGAGCCCTAAAACAACATCATGTTGATCATTGAATTGGAACCATGGTAATGGACATCGCTGCTCACACAGCCGTAGTGCTGCTGTGTGTGTTTCAGAGCTTGCTGTGGTATTTGCATGTTTGCATCCTACAATCACAGTCAGCACAGAATCGATATGGGAGGAGGTGGATATGTGTGCTGGCAGTGTTGGAAAGATACAATTGTTATGGTATTAGCAGATAATTTCCTCCTTAACACTCGTGAACTTAAATATATTTGTTTAGTTCCTCTTTTGAAATATTTTTCTCTTGTCTTGTTGTCAGAAATGGATCTCTGAATGCTGCCTTCACCTTTTCTCCAGCTTGTTGTTGTGCTGTTCAGGGGTTGGTCTGATTGGAGCTAACAAACAACTTGTGCCAGCTGACCACTCTCTTTCTCATGTCCACCTTGTCCAGCCAGATGTAGGCTTCTCCTATAAGGGTCTTCTTCATGAACTTGCCTCCATTGGACACCAAGAAAAGCTGAAAATACATCGGAGAGAAACACATTTGTCATGACTTACTCTGTAGTTATCTGATTGATAGCGTTTATGCATTGTCAGCTCAATAACCCATTCCATCTTGAAACGTGCATGGCTAAAAGCACGTTATTCAGCATGAATAATGGAAGCACCATTGGGTGAAGAGGTTACAACCCGATAAAGTGTCATCTGTTGATTAGGTAAGCCTTCAAATCAAGATGAAATATAGACACATTAAGATTGTCCTGTATAACAAACAACACTATCAGAAAATGCATTCATATTTCTTACATATTACATCTATGCTTCTATTGCATTAGTTCAAAAAAGAGTCAGTGAGCATGTTTTTCTTTTATATTTGCCAGTATTTATTGAACTGCAATTGTCTGTGTTGAATTGACTTTTTATAGAATTTACCAGCAATTTGTACCTGCTCATTTCCTGCATCCCACCACGAGGAGGTTCTATATGTACAGCTGGTACACGAGGCAGTAGACCAGTGTATTTATTTACCATTGTGAGGTTTATGACTTGTTTTGTCAGAAGTAACAAGCCTCCAGTTTTAATAACTGCAATACCATTTTAGAGATGCTGGATGTAAACTAACCTGATGAATACACCAAATGACTGCAAAGCTTTCCATTTTCTATGATTATTAGACCAACCAGATATGCGGAAAATCATGTATAATGATCAATTGGAAGCATGACATATCATGCTTGACAGATGGACAGAGGGTGTCCTTGTGTGTTTTCTTGTACCTGTATGGAGTGTCCAGTTGTGTTTAGGGGGAACCTGAAGGTCTCATTGAAGGAGGGCTCTCTGTCATGTCGACAAACTCTGGTCTTCTTCTTGATGATCCTTTTCTGAGTGGCTACATTTACCACATATAGCTTCACATACAGGTCTAAGGGCAAATAAATATAAATCAAGAATATGGATTAGTGATGCTGCAAACTATTTAGAGTTCTAAAAACACATAGATACTGCCATTAATGCATGTGCAAAAAAACAGACTACTTCCAGACCTGGTAGGTGGTCGGGGCTTTTGAACTTGTAAGTGATGTTTCTGCATTGAAGGATCTCCAAAACCAGTTGGTCCCCTTCTGTCTTTACCTCCTTCTTGAGAGCCACCTTGATCTCGCCTATTACTTGTGTTTTACCGGCTGAAAAAAGAAATGAAAAGAGGTATTGGGTGATCAGTTTTTGGAAATTTCTACATTTGGATATTGCTGGCTGAATTTTTTGTTCCCAAAGGCACATTCCCATGGTTGCACAGGACAGCGATATATTTAAATGATTTAACAATAATGCATTGTTAAACCTGTGCTCAAAGCATAATGTACTCGGAGCATAACCACATTTTAGCTGGACTTATCAACTGTCATGCGTCTCTATTGATATTTAAATGTAAGCATTTTACAAAGAAAGGCTTGTTTAACTGTGTTAAATGAGTCATCAGGCACCATGGAAATGACCTCATGACCCTCATCTGTCCAACAACTGCCACGCTACAGCCTAAAATGTCCTTGGGCTCTTTGTTACAAATTGTAACTAGAGAAGAAAGGGAGGCACCATGACACCTGAGCTACATGAAACGTGGATATAGTTATGACAGTGCGTAGGATAGTGTGACATCCAATTCTCTTTCACCACCCCAGCCAAGTCATTAGGCTGTGTAAATATTGCCTCTTGACAATAAGCACTTAACTGTGCATTTGACTACACATTTAAATAGTCATTATGAAAACACGGTTTAAAAGTTATTAAAAGACTGTCTATGTAAATGAACAAATAAATAAATAATGCTGTTATATGAAGTACCCAGCAGATGGAGACCTACAACCAAGTTTCATCTGTTAACAGAGGCAATTTCTGGAACTTGCCTTCATTTTCCGGGGTCCCTAGTTGGTGTTTGTCTGTGCCGTTAGGAATAGTCTTTCCGCTGTGAGAAACAAAACATATGAGCATCATAAGACATTATGAATGATGGATTAATGTCAGCCTCAAGCCTTACTGGATGTGGTTCGAATGAGCTATAAATAGTCTTACATGCGTGGGACTTGAAAAATGGCACTGTCCACTCCAGTGTCCTCTCCATCTTCCCCATCCAGACCTCCATATGCGTCTCCAACAAGACTCGGGGCCGACAGCACCACTGACCCTGAGACATCACCCAGTCGGTGTCCTGGTCCTTAGGATGGCAAGAGAAAGTGTGATGGTAGTGATGTGTGTGTGTGTGTGTGTGTGTGTGTGTGTGTGTGTGTGTGTGTGTGTGTGTGTGTGTGTGTGTGTGTGTGTGTGTATGTGTGTGTGTGTCTATCTATCTATCTGTGCCAACATGGCACATCTTTACTGACTCATGCAACAGAAATGCTTTACACCCCCAGCTATCTCTCACTGACAGTGCCACTGTCTGTCACACTTAACTTTGACTGAGCATCACATGACAGCATATCAGGGAAAGGCAGATAAGTGTAGATGACAGCTTGTCCTTGCATTTAGCAGTGCTTTGTAAAGGACATTGGTTAACTCATCAAGCCCACAGTAGACTTCAATTAAGGATACTACGTTTATTTCACAAATGAAAATGAATAGGGTGTGATCATTTGGATGTCCTCTGATATATTTCCTTTTTATTCTTGGGTCCTGACTGCTGCTGAGTTATGCTCATACAGTAGTGTGATTAGTTCAGAGAATATGTGAAGTGTTTCTGTCTAGCTTAGGATGGATTTACTGTACACGACATTTTTCTGCCTAGGTTTCCTTTAAAAAAAATGACTAATAGAAGCCCGATCTGTGGCACAAATAGCTGGGGAGTAGGTTTATCTCTAGACATAAAAACATAATTTTCGCAAAAACAACGCAACAACAACATACTAAAACACACATGCACACTCAAACTTTAACAGACTTTAATGAATGAAAATAATTAAATGAGAAATATGTTTATAAATTAAATGTTTTTATACATTTGGTTATATGTCTTGATTTAGTTTATTATCAATAATTCATTGTTGTTTTTAGTGTTATGGTTGATAAATTAGGATTAGTCATATTTAGCAGTACATTTTTCCTATGTTGCCTCACCTTCCCCACCTGCTCCTCTCATGGTTAGCTGACCGCTTTACTGTCATTGGCCGGTGAGAGCGCGTCCTGTTGACTGTGTTTCCTGGTTTGACTGGTTCAGTCTCAGATTTGTTTCCACTTTGTTTTAGGAGGCAACTTTGGGAGAGGATTGGGTAGGGAGGGGAGCCAAACCTGTGTGTGTCTTTGTGCATTTTCTGTGGCTAATCTGAGGGTTCATTCATATGGCACACACATGCACACACACACAGAGCGACTGCAGCATCACAAAGTCCTCAGTGGCCAGGGAATAGTAGCCAGGGAAGCTGCAACTGCATGCTTAAATAGTTCTGACAGTGGGAAAACATATCTAAGGAAGGGATGACAGCATAGTACTTTATTTTGAGGACACCACATGATGCAATGATGCATAAACATGAATCGATATTGTTAAAATTATGTTAATACGGACCAAGAGGTTTGGTTTCTTGATTTGAGTTAGAGGTCTGCATGTAGATCATGTAGAATATGTTTGGGACTGGCACATGCAGAATTAATGTAGAAACAGGGGTTCGGGGGCTCTTATTTGTAGCTAATTAAATATAAATGTTTCTTTAGTTTTGTGGTAAGGTTGAACTATACTTCTGTGTATGTAACTCACAGCAACATATCAGTTTAATGTCCTACTTAAGATACCAAAGTAGGTAGCAAAATGTTTAACAGATGGGAAATGTCAAACACTATATTTTATCTAGTCCACTGTATGTACCAGATTTATAAATATTGAACTGAAGATTTAAAGACATTATGCAGCAAGTTGGGGATTTGATATAGCTCACTTATTTTGTTTAATAACTTGGGTTTTGTTTAGTGAAAGAAGGATTGATCTAACTAGGAGGAGAAGAACATTTAACTTAAGAGATGTTTGTTTAAAAACAAATATTTTTGTGCTCACAAAAAAGGCAAAGGTAGAATGTTAAGGAGGTAATCGCACAGCGGTTCAGGTTTTTTCAAACGATCAACATACAGTAGCTTGCATGCACAGGAAAAAGGAAGCATGTCACAGGAAGTGTATCATGGGTAGGGGTGGGATTTACTTGGTTGCAGGCGGGACTGTTGCACAGCCGCCTCGGCAGCAGCAATGGCTATCCCAGCATCCTCAAGGTGGGCCTGAGTGACGCTGCTCTTGCTTTGGCTTCGGGAGGGGCCATGGGAGCGCAGTTGGCCATCAGAGGAAGACTTGGAGCTGCCTGGGCTGCTGTGTGACTTTTCCAAAGGCAACATCTGCATGTCTGCAGGAAGATGAGATGGTGGGTTATGACTGCTATTTTAACTAGAAACATGTAGATGAATTCACACCGTTAACATTATTATTTTGTTCTGCTCCACAGCAGCGGCCATGTAGCAGTTGACGAGCGCATAGAGTGTAATTATTGCAGTCAGGAAATTATTCTCATTTATGTTTCTATGGTAACAGCCTCTTTCTTTATGAGAAATAATTAACGGACAAGATCAAGAATCACAGTTTTTGACCCAAACGCCTGCCAAAGAAAATCTGTGTCATGGTGGCGATTTACAGAAATTATGGAAATTGAGGGTGTATACAGTATAAGTCGTTCCGACGCTAACAAATAAGTTATTAATGGAGACTTTTTTTACCTTTTGCTGGGTCAGGGAAGATTCCATGACTTCTGCTCTTGATGACAGAGTTATTTGGTGAATCTTGACTCCCGTCTGGTCCCTGTCCCATACCAAGCCCCATCCCAGGGCCTGACATATGGCCTAGGCTGTGTCCCTGACCATAACCCTGACCTGACCCAGACCCTGGTGGGCCTTGAGCAGCATGGTGGGCTTTGCTGTGCTCAATGCTCTCACTCTGCTCGTTCAGAAACAGCCAGCGAGGAGTGTTGTCTAGCTGGGTAGTGTTCGACAAGTCAATCAACACCTAAGACACAATTAACATACAAACACACATCGTTAGGAAGAAGCAAAACCATTAAAAACTCAAAAAACAAAGCCCATCACTCAGGTACAACAGGTATAAAGGCTGCATCTCAGGTCGATTATTTTCATTTCCTCACTCGTCGGTCCTCGGTATCACCGGAAGTTGATTTGTCTGCGCCATCTTGAGTACCGTCCCATGGCGCTTATTTCTGCCGGAGGACCGAGGATCGATAATGGAGGAGCGATAATGGAGGAACCACCAGACCATTCTCAGATTAAATCCTCAGACACTCGCCCCGCCCCCTTACTGTGTATCGCTCACTGATTGGACGATGCAGTGCATGCACTGATCTGATGCTTCTTGACATGAGAGCAGTACCCCAGCGGAGTGAAGAAAATACATGAAACTCACGAGAGTCACTCCTTAGTTTATACTGTGTTTTGTTTCAATTAATGTATCATTTAGTTACAAATATGTGATATATCTGAACAACAAAGTGGTCAACAATTATTTTACGAATGGCGTTAATCTTTTTTGAGAATGAGTTCTTATTTTATTTTATTTATTTGGGTCTACAACAGATGATACAAATGTTTATGTCAGTAAATGTGTGCTAACAGAGGCGGGGGTGTGTGTGGAAACAACAGGGACAGAGCTGCTGTTAGACATCAGCTGTGCGGTGTCATCACAAACGGACGACGCTCCGGAGGAAAGGACGTCCCATTGCTCTTAAAACTCATTTCCCTGCTTCTCGTGGTTTCCGTGCGTCTCTCCATGCTTCCCTGGTGGAAGGGACTAAACGCAGGGAAACTACGCAAGTGAGGGACTCAAGGATTCCATTTCATCGACCTGAGATGCAGCCAAATGGTCCCAAGGGGAAATAATTTGGATGGTAGATAACATAAAAGCCTATCCAAACTGTTTTGCTACAGAATTGTAATGCATACAGAATTTAGCACGAGACGAATAGCACTTCTTGCAACAAAAAAAAGGTAAAGGCATGTAGCAAAGATTGACTACAGAATTTGTGCGAGGGAGATAAGACTCGTATTATAAAGTTGCAAGAAAAGCTTTTGTCATCGAAAAAAGAATGCCGCTGTTTACTACGTGTGAGTTAAGCATTGGACATTTTGAGTTTTTATTTGAGATTCCAAAAGCACTCACTTCTCCCAGGAAGTCATTGGAAGAGGATCTGTCATAGTCCCACACAGTCACCTCCAGCGTCTTTTTCTTTAACTGGATAGAAAAAGTGAAGGAGAAAGGGAAACAGATTATGATGATGGTTTGTGCATATGTATGTGTGAGGGAGATAACTGTGTGTAGGCCTGCGTTTGAGTATGTGTGAGTGGAGAAAGTGTGAAAGAAAACAAACCTAGAATGGTTATTGACTTTAATATGCTCGGAAGATAAGGACTTACATTAGATTTGGTTTGTTCCAATACATGTACATAAACTTGTGAATGTGTATATTGGTATGTGTAAGGGGAGATTGCAACATATATCAGGGGTGAATGATTGAATGAGTGATGCCTCAGCAGTTTTAAGAGTGGCAGGCTCCAGCCATCAGAGATGTGATTAACAGAAGGAAGCCCCAGAGAGTCCAATGAAGGCCTCTATCTGACCACTAAAGCTACTGCATCTGCACTTCCTCACTGTTGTAATTACAGTCTGTGTGTACACAAGCAAAGCACAGACATCAATGAAGAAAACACAAGCACCCAGACGCACACTAACTAACACAGTGTGACAGAAAAGCACACAGGCACAATTACAATGTTTCTATAATTATTTTTGTTGAATTGCTATGAAGTTAGGCTGTCTGTGTTGATGCAGCGTGAGAGTAGAAATGATGCATGTTAAGTTGAGTCTTTGGAGAGCTGATAAGAGGTTGCACAGGGATATGGAGGACAGCCCTGCGGACAAGGCATAGGGACAGAATCCTAAGAAGAGTATAATGAGACATCAACGTCACCTCAAGTGGCCCGAAGCACAAACACTGACTGCACAAGCATGACAAAGGGAGAGTTTGTGTGTAAGGTGTTTGATAATGTTATTCTGCACAGTACCTGCTCCAAATGAATGTTCTTGTAGATGACAGTCTGGTTCCATTCTGGGTTCATGGTCTTCTGGGCATACTTGGTCCTTCTCTTGTTATCAGCACTGATAAGTCATGATATTCAGAATGATTGGTTGTCAGTAATAAATTGAAATGTCTCTTCCCTGCCTGACCCCATGGCAAACATTTACTACACTATGATATGCTCAAAAACTGTGGGCTGAATAGATGCTTGTAAAATCTCCTGCTCTGGAGACATCAGAAACAATTTCAAATGACAATGTTCAAATTGTCTTGGATGACTTTACAAAATCACAAAGCACTTCAGAGATAGAAGCTGAGAAGTGTTAAAAGTGAGAGGCATGGAGAGAAAAAGCAATGACAGGAGTTTTCTTAAACGACATGAAATTGAGCAGATAATTAGACGAACAACAAAGGCCACAACAAAAGGATGGAGACGCACTTTGGAGACATAATTTACAGAAAGAAAAAACAAAACACCAACGAACAGCAAAGATCAGCACCACGCTACCTTGCATTCTGGACAACCATGACTTGGCTGAGGGAGTCCAGAAGAGGAAGAGGAGGGCAGATATCACAAACAAGAAAGCAAAAACACAAAAAACAGTCAGAGAAGCCCAGAGAGCTTAAATAAAAGTCAGTAAAGGATAGAGAGCTGAGGCAATCAATATTCTCTGCAGGTGCACTGTTTTTGTGCCCAAGCAATGTATGTGACGCAAGACCAAAACATCTCACAATGATTCCAACTGGCTCATGGGTGGATGACTAATTCACTATTCTGAACTGTTGCTCGATGTACCGTGGCCGTGCACTCTACCCACAAATACATTTCAAAATACTCTTCAAATGAAACAGCAGGGGAACAAAAAGGCTCTCCTGTACATCTTTCATTCTAAGTGTGCAATAGAGGGGTCTTATAATCTCATAAACAGCTCTAATGGGGTTTTTATCTAAGAGCAGATACGGTTACAGAGCAGATAAGGCTATATCGATCCTTTCTCTTGCTATTCACAGGTTCTTTGTACGAAGCTATTGGGTGGATCAGGCGAGAGAAGTAAAAGCAGGACATACAACTAATGGAAAATACAAAAGTCTAGCTTAGAGTATGATAGCATACACATAATGCTGTCTATGACCAGATAATTGAACATATTATAATGTTTCAGTATGGCAAATGATCTCCTCTCACAACTTCCTACATTATGAGGTATAAAACATCCATCCACAAATCGAAAGAGATTGAATCAAATTGAATCAAATTAAACTACAACTGAATGCCTCATATCATCATGTCCAGTCTCATTCTCTCAAACAAGCTCAGGTAGTTAGTCAATTTCGTACAAGACACAATATAAGGTCAGAAAGAAATAGGGGGAGAGTAAACAAGACAGACACAGAAGCAGAAAGGCAGACATAGACCAGACAGTCATGAACAGTGAAACACAGTCAGAACTCACCCTCTCCCAGGTAAGAGGTAGACCTTGACAAACGGGTCAGAATAGCCGTCGTTGTCCCTCTGGGCCAGGTTTCTGGCCTGCAGAACATGCACGATCAAGTTTCCCAGGTTCTTGTCATAGTTGATCTGGAGCTGAGGGGAAAAGAGTGGAGGGGAAGCTGTGTGAGGCAGATTTAACTATGGATGAAAAGTATCTAGTACTTTTTGTGTTTTAATACCTGAATTTCTCCAGTGATGGGATGAGGTATCCTCATTACCTCTGTTATCGGCTACAGAAATAGGGGAGAGCATACAATGGTTGAAAAATGATTCTTTTATGACCTGACCCACAAAGAAAAGTTCAAGCAAGCCATTCCCCTGGGATTAGGTTTTGTTAAAAGATGCTTTGACCTAACTTGACCTCTCTATATTGTAATCTTACGGATTAATGGGTTGTCCTTGTAGAAAAGATGCTGAGTAAAGATTTATCACCGGATCTATGAACCTCAGGAGAGATATGACTATCTGAGGAGTGCAATTTACTTGAAAGGTCCTCAAGTGAATTTTGAGAAGGTTAATTAATTATTTCATTTTTACATAATCATTAGTGAAAATTGTATTTTACAGTTTAGATAATTAAGTACAAATATATTTCTGCTTGACATTCATCTCCATTTATCATTCCATAATGCTTCCTATTTTTTTAATCAGTTTGACATGCCTTTCAATGAAAATACATGTACACATTTGCCTATAACAAAGCCTACATGCATATATTTCCAATTCCATGCAGACCACCCTAGGTCATGTAATGTAACACACTTTGTTCCATTATAATTGTCCTGTTGAACACAGTCACACTGTTTGACCTTCACATACCACCTTCCATTTGAAGTGTCATGTATATATGATTTCATATTGATGGAGGTGCATGAGAGATCAAAAAGAGTGCTGCTTATAACAGATCCATACTATTATTCATTTAGAATACATTGTTGTTTTACACAATTTATCCAGTTCAACTATTTACAACTGAAAAGTGTGCCTGTTATGTGGCAGTGAAATATGCAAGTCTTATCCACAACCTTGTGTCGTTGTTTCTTGTTTATGGCTGGGGATGCAGGCTGGCCAGGGCTTGGCACACCACTGGAGGCAGCTGAGCCAGTACCCGAGTGGAGGAGGGCAGAACGATCCAGTGCAGAGAGGACCCCCAAACCACCAGACCCGAGCCCTGTTCCAGCCAAACCAGGAGCCAGTTGCTGGGACACCTTCTGCAGTTCTGCTGCCAATTGATTAGGATCCACACCAGGGGAACGCTGCCCACCTACTGAAACAAATGAACACAGTAATTCACCTTGAAATTATGTGAAATAGGCACACAGATATATGCATGCATGCAGACACATCAACAAATCCTTGTACATACCAGCCTTAAGCTGGACATGGTGCTCCAGGGCTTGTGGGTGCTCAGGGTCAGACAGCATATCAAGGTCGCTGTTTGGATCCATAAAGGACATTTATAATGGAACATAAACCAGTGTATTATAGCAGTTATCAGTCAGAGGGTGATACTTGTGAGATGAAGGGATGTGGAATAAAGAGGAGGGAAAGGAAGGTGGAGAGAAGGTTGTGAAGTTACCATATTGCAGCTAAACATATTGGAGTTTCAGAGGGATAGAGGGGTAAAGGATGACAGATGTAACTCACAGTCTAACACAGATCTCCGCCTCGGCGCATGGCTGGCCCACGATGCACTGCACTTCTTCATAAGTCTTTCCCATCAGAAGGATTCCGTTCCACTCCAACACCTGCATTCCTGTGGTGTGATGAAAACAAGCAAGCAGATTCAGAGTCAAAAGTGTGTTATCAATTCCCACACAATATGTTGTCGACTCTAGGCTAATTCATTTCACCCCTCCCTCTGCATGAAACGAAGCGTGATGCTATGGAAAGTGCTTTGCCTTTACATAGAGGTAATATAGTTTCTTAAGCATAAAGCTTCCAAGTCCTATTGATATAAAACAAGAATAATCTATATTTCCAAAATAATTTGTCCTTCAGTTCAGACATAACAGGTTATTTGTGGTTACTTGCATCATTATTTATCATTATAAAAACATAAAAATAAAAAAACCGTTGTGTATCTCACGTGGTCTTGAAATTACGCGAGAACACACTGGTTAATGATTTCCCTGTTTGGCCTAACTTGGAGGTGGCAAATCTGACGCATACTTTACAACGTAAGTCAATATAATGATAGTGTAAATGTGTAAACATACAACAAATAGTGCGTCCATGGTTGCACTACTGAAACGGGGAAGTAAAAAGGGTAAATATAGAGGTTTGTTACAACTACTAGCACACGTAAGAACGGAAATGTTAAGCCTGTGAGTGAGCGTGAGTGTGTGCGTGCGCGCGTGCCTGGTTGCTTGGGTGGCCCTCAGTTAATGAGGAGCCGCTACACTTTGAAGTGCACGCTGCTCCATGTATCTTACCGCGACAGTGTCCGCATAGCCTTCCATTTACTGATTTACGCTCAACGTTTTCTTTAAAGATAAATAATATTCAACGCTGTAACGGCGAATCTCCTTCCACAGCTTCTCTTCAATTAAACCGAACAGTTTATTTACATTGACTGTTGCTTCTTGGTACACCAGATAAACGTGCACACGTCACCAACAGGACTGGAGTGTGGAACGAAACATGCGCAGTCGGCCCGATTACTAAACTGCGGACTCGGTAATTACGCTTTGGCTTCACACAACAGGAGTGATGCTTTGATGTTGTGTGCTATATCCAGTGGGAAACTTAATTAATATTGTGACAGAAACGCTATCATACACTATCATAATTGTTTTTGTAGTATATAGTGCCGCGCACATATACTATCAGGATGTTACTGATGTGGCGCGGAGTGATACTGAGTGTGTGTATGTAAAGCATCGATGTATAATAGAGAGCCGAAGTCCCTCCCTTTCCAGTGCACCTCCATGGGACCTTATTTCGGAAAAAGTATGTATTGAAGTCGTCAATGGCGAGAGAGAAATTATCTTTCGATCCCGTTTGAATTGTGCCATGAATTACACATAGGCTATCAATGTGTCAATCATAAAAAATAATTTCCATTTAAAAAAAGTCACAGTTTCTCGTAAAACTGTTGAAATATAAGACTGAAAAATACACTACAAATCCCAGAGTCGCGTAAGTGATGTCATAACTGATGTCATAATTGTTTTTCCTCCTCTAAATATAAGAGATAGCTAAGATAAGATAACTTTAACAAGATGCCTGTATGCTTTGTACCAGGTTGTAATAATACCAGCAATGGGTCTTGCTCGTTGTTTCGCTTCCCGTCTGATGAAAGGACCAGGAGTTAGCTATACCTAGCTAGTAGCAAGCACGTTAGTTAGCATTACAGCCGGCTTAGCCTTGTCATTTTTATTAGCCTTAACATGATGTAACATTAAGTAACCCAAAATGTTAAACAGTAAGATTATAGTCATATTTCGTGAACCCTTTGAAGAGTACTGTCACACCGGTGTGATCATTCTATAATACACCGTTTAAGCCCGGATGCCCCCGCCCCCGGGGGCAGACATGATAACGCTAACACTACATTAGCATCAGCGATCTTTTCTGCTTCATGCTATCTGCACAAATGGTTAACATTGAACATTACAAAGATCAGGCCGTTCAGGGAGAATCGAAGGCAGGCAGGCAGCCAGCCAGCCAGCTTTGCATGACATTCTTATTGACGTGTTTCATTGTTGTAATAGTGAGGGTGAGTCAATCCCTTTTTTTTGGCAAGACCGTAGTGACGGCCATCTTGGTGTTGGTGACGTATGTTGTGCGATGAGAGATGTAGTTCATTGAGCGGTTTCACACAAAAAAGTGTTACTTCACAGTTTTACGGCAATTTCTTCTTTTTTTTTACTTGCAAAATTATCTTTTAAATTGACAAACATGATATGTGTAATTCATGGCACAATTCAAACGGGATCAAAAAGATACATAAATCAGGGCTTCATTTGAGTAATCTTCCCTCAGGGAACTTATTCCGGTGTGAACGCGATCTGTACTTAGTTCTATGGGGGTACTAAGTGCGGCACTAAGTACGACTAAGTACTTAGTGTGAAAGCGGCTAATGGGAACCTTTTTCTCCCATGAAAGTACCTGCTCTCTAGCAGGGACTGAAAAGGTGGTGAAAAGGTTCTCATGAACTAAGACCCCAGCCACACGAGGACGAAAACGGCTAAACGCATAGGATTAACGCAAACGCAATCGCAAACAAGCTTCCGTCCACACGCAATAGTTATCCGGATAGTGTCTGCCCACACGAGACCGCTCCGTTTAGCTCCAACCGCTGGAGAAGCTGCAGTACATATGCAGGAGCCTGTACGTGGCGCTGTAACTTCCTCCACAAAAGCAGCGAAGAAGCATGGTTGTCATGGTTGCCCTTCTGTTTATTCTCCGCGGTGGGGGCCGAGGGAACCGGGCAGAGTTTTTCGCCAGTCAATGTGTATTAAAGTTTAAACCTTCCGACAAAATTATAAAAGTGCCGGTCAAAGGTCTTTGTTATTTATTGAGCTTTAAAACAAATGAATAACGACTCTATATAATATAATAATAAAAATACACGGAGCCTCTCTTTTTCCTCCCTCTCTTCGGACAGCGTCAGTGTCTGTCTCATGCAGCAGCTGATCCAGTAATGAGTGACCCGGCCGACAGTAAAAATAAACATATTTATAACTAGTTTAGGTAGTTTGAGAGGTGTCTCCGTCCTGTCAGATTAGACTTCACTCGCGTTTATGTCCATATCGAGAGAAAGATAAATAATCTGAATTCAGTGTGCAGTTTACTTTGACGCGGGGGTGAGCAGCAGAGGTGGGGAGAGGCGTGGCTATTGCGCAATCATTATCAGAAAATGATCGCTGAAGCTGCAGTACATATCCACAAAAGCAGCGAGTAAGATCCCCCCCGGATGTGTAAGTCTGCTGTAGATGTTGCACAAAGAACTGTAGCATGGTCAGTAGCGTCCGGAGCACGATAGCAACTCTGCGATCCGCCATTGTTGTTGTTGTTGGTGGCGAAACACATCAGCAATGGCGCGGGGTACGCGGAGGTGAGCAGCAGAGGTGGGGAGAGGCGGGGCTATTGCGCAATCATTATCAGAAAATGATCGTATAGGGCGCACACACGGAGCTGTTTGACCCCCCAGAGCGTTGCGTATGCCGTTCTATCCACCTTGGGACCCGTTATCGTTTCCTCAGTCGTTTAGTGCCGTATGCGGTCGTCCTCGTGTGGCCGAATGGTCTATATGACACTAAACAGTAACGCAAACGGACGTTTTTGTCCTCGTGTGGCTGCAGCCTGAGTTCTAGTTCCGGATAGATACTGGGAAAAGTATTATATATATACTATAGCGCCTATTGGGGAAAAGTATTTCTGGGCCCAGTGACGTCAAGGACTGATACGGAAATTGTAGTACCGCCGTTTGGACACAACGAATTTTGGGCACAGAGTCCGGCGCACTTCCTGGGGGCTTGATGTAAGCCCGCATCTAGTATGCATGTATGTACCATGGCTGAAGAGCTGTTAGGTAAATAAAGATGTCTCATTGAAAGGTCTACGGATACCTTATTACACTCCATGACCCGCTGTCAAGTATAGAGCATAAAGGACTATTACAGTTTTTACTCAAACAATGAATGACATGTCAGATGTAGAAGAAATGAGACTGAATAATATTACTAATATTACTCAAATGTGTATTTTAATGGTATAATTACAAACATCAGTGCACTGCAATCTCAAACTTCCAACCTAGGTCTGAGCTGTATGAGGCCTCACTTAAACAACTGGAATCCGGTCTTCCAATTTTACTTCTGCTTTCAAAGCATCTCATAAGCTGCTGTTATATTAAATGTTTGTATTATAACTCCCTATCCTTCTACATGAGCCACTGCTCATAAAGATAATTCCCTCTGCTCTCTCTCTATAATTCGCTATATCCTCCCCCACTGTATTTCTCTTTGCACCTGAAGGCATGTTCTTCTGCCATTCTGTAAGACAAAAATAAACATCACATTTGCATAGTTGCAGTTCTGAGTATGCAAAGTGAAGCTTGCCCGCCTGACCACTGTTCCTTTTTATATATCACAGCTATTATTAGCATGACAAAATAATCCAGTTTAACATGTTCAGTGTTATTATTTCCAATCCAAAATGGACAAATAGACCAAGAAGAAATACACTGTTGATCTGTCCTTCTCCCCCTCCCCTGTGTAATAGCAAAGTCATCACAGTCCCTACAGAGGAGTTCCCTTTTTAAAAAGGGAAACAAGAACCAATTTGGCCCTGAAAATATAATCAAGCTGTGTAAATTGCCAATGATATTCAGGCTCCTCTCTGTCCAGCAATACACTGACCACCATAGGTTGATCATTAGAACATTCTAATAGACTTGTGTACACATTGAGTAAAGACTTCTGAGCATTCATACATGTTGTGTATGTGTGTGCGTGCTTGCGTGCGTGCGTGTGCATTTGTGTGTCCATAACAATGCTAAATATAGCCTAATGACTAACACAGCCGAGGCCTGTGCTGTGGACGGTGATTTGATAGGCTTTTTACGTTTTTGGATGTGATGTGTTGGGGAATGACACATGACAGACCACAACACTGCAGCAGCAGCTCAAATCCCCATCTGGAATTCAGTGATTTAGGAAGGGATTTTTACTCAAGGCTTTTTACACTGTCCTATAATTAACAACAGTTTAAATATTTGCTTTTACAACATTAATCTCTCAGGCCTCAGAAATTAATTTTTTTTCCATCTGCTGCAAAGTCATGAATTTATTGTGTCAATTGAACATGTTCTCTTGAAAAAGGATACACATTACTAGTTACTAAGGGGCCAGATGGGGCAGATAAACACTTAGTTCATACCCCCTCCTTTTATTCATTATTCTCTTACCCTCTACAACTTGTCCTGTTTGTTCTGCCACACCACCAGGGATAACCTTGGCGATGTAGGCTCCAATCTGTCCTCGGCTCCCTGGAATCTCCTTCCCACCTACCACCCGGATACCAAGACCGTTGCCTGAGGGAAAAATAAACATGCAAATCTTAATTACAGTAGCTGGTAACTATAAAAAGTGAAGTGTGACTATGGCATGTCTGTGTGTTTTATGTCTGCCTTGTACCTGACACACTGGTGTCCTTTGGGTCTCTCTTCAGCTTGATGTGATTGTTAGGGAAGGCGTATGGTACCAGTTTCATCTGAGATGGATTTGAATTTATATTTACAACATGAAGAAAACAGATTTTCATTTTAGAAAACATTTTACACTGAAAAATCTGGGAAGGAAACGGCATACAGTATTTTGAGGTTAAATTGTGTTGGCTTGGATCTCACCTGTCTCCTGGTCTGCGGATGCCCCTCATCTGGCTTATCAAACCAATCTGTGTCCTCTCTCCTTAGGTGGTAGGCTAGATAGGAAAATATAGTTGTTACCAGCCTACACACACTATATGCTCATTAGCTTGACAAATCTCTACATGGTAATGTCTACTTGGGCAGATATAATTATTGCGATCAAGCTTTAGAAACAGTCTCCAGTATTCATTAGGTTTGTCACACATTCATCCCTACTTGCAGAAATGCAGGAAGATCTCTGATCTGTCCTGACTGGATAGGTGAAAACAAAGAAGTATAAACTCAATTCCAGCCTATCCATACTGTCTGTAGGATCCAATGATCACTACAAGCACTTAATGAAGGATGAATATGTTTCAAAAGCCTAAGATTTTTCATGCGTTTGATACCATGCAGTGTATCCCGTCTCAGTGTGATGGCTCTTTTTTGTCCATATTTTAATAACGGCTGTAAATGAAATATTGTTGTTGAAAGAAAGCCTTGGAAATGATCTATTGTATTTAATCATTTCAGACAAAACAATGTGGATTAGAGTTTCCCCATCGTCTGTTTTGATTGTCTAAACGACAATACAAGTTATAACAAGATAAGAAAATTAATATATAAACATACACCTTGTTTACTTATGCAGTGCTAACAAATTCCAAACAATTGTTAGCACTGCATTATTTTATAAAATGTTTTAAGTCCTTCACAGTAGCTTATAGGATCTGTGAACTGGCAGTGTAATGTATTTATAATGTACTGAAAATAAAATGTGATGTGACTCCCCCCAAAAAGCTAATTATACAGATATCTAACACTATTAAAGTGGGATTTTTAACACATGGTATTGCTTGTATTTAGCATAATTATTTTAAAGCTCAAAGGTAATCTAAAGCCAAGTAAAGTCAGGTTGGTGGAGAATGTTTTACCTTAAGTGAATCATCACTTCGGTGTATGACAAAATACATTGTCGCCAAGGACAGAATGTGCAGTTCTGGCAGATGTCTCTTTTTATTATCAGTGATATATTTCCACCAAGGAAATGCACCAATAATTAAGAGGAGAAATGGCAGATACATGTATTATATTAGAAGGCACTTGTCCCTTCTAATCAGTATTAAAGGTTGGTGATGTAGAATCAGTCAGCAGTGGTAACATCGGCCTTCAGATATCTATTAAAGTTGGATACAATGCCTTAACACGTATGCACACTGCAATAATAATTCACACTTATCACGCATGATCATATAATATATAGGTGACTGTGATGCAAAAGTGCATGAGCATGAATAGTGAATACTGAAAATGGGTGTGATATGCTTACAGAAGCACTATGATCATTCCAGAATTATGTTTTACTCACTTAAGTATATTACACATACAGTACAACATATCTGGTGCCATTAAGATGGGTTCTAACATGTCAACGCTGTAGATCTGCTAAATGACAAAGATATTTTGTATTCATACTAGAATGAGTTGGGTGTGTTTACAAAAACACCCTGAAAAGCGGATCATTCAGAACCATGATATGTGGTATGGAGGCATACATCGTCTATTCAACTACATGGAATTGTGATGCTGTCTCACCTTCTATATTCCAGTTTGGGCCTCCAGCTGGGGTACAAAGTTATATGTATTTTTCAGAAATGTGTTCAACACATGTTAAGTAATCTAACAAACTCTAGCAAATGTGCTAAGACTAGATTTGTATTGAAGGTATACTTTAGCACATGCATTGAGATCAATAGTCAAGATGCATGCTTCAAAATACTGCAGGTCTGAGTCCGACAGTCTAAAAATTGGAGCAGTAGCATTATGAAAATACATGTGACGGGGCATTTTAAAGGTCATCTATCACTTAATATCAAGTTGAGTCATAGCAAAAACATTAAAGTAAAGGTTTTTAACTAGTACTGTAAAATACTCTACCGTGTCTGATACTTTCATGAAAGATTCTGGCATCATCTCTGTTCAAAGCCAGCATGGAATCACTTAGTGCTGTAATCAAGGCAAATGGACACTTTTACCTTGGGTCAAATATCGTGACAAAGAGTTTACCCATGATGATCTTTTCAAATGGTCCAGAAAACAAGGCAACATTGCTTAACAAATTAAGCATTGTTTTCTCATATTCAATATGGATGACATTAAACCTTCTTCCATTTGGTCCTAATAAGGCAAGAGTTTTGCGAAGGTCAACCATTTTTGCCGTGCCTAAGTACAATTGTTACTGCTAAATGCAAAACATATTGTACCTAATTAAATCTTACGTATTACTTATTAAGTGTTATATTGAAGTCTTCCTAACTAGATTTCCTTTACCTAATGGCACACTTACAATCCCACACTTACAAAGATGGAGATAGTACACGTCAACATTTGCTGTTCATTACTATGCGACATGGACATCTCACATGGCAATGAGACACCCACAGCAACAAACAACAAGCAGAAAACATTCACTTTATTAAAATGGAAATGGATAACATATAGTTCACAACATGCAAGGATGCACATTCAGATACACATACAAAATTAAAGACATATACAAATAAAACAAAATAAGAGACACAATAATGTGGAACTTGTAATTTGTAACAGAAGGCTGAACATAACTGCATGTAGTCCTTGAATGAAAGTCGTTGCATTGCAGAATAGTTTTTCGTGCACAGAAACTCCTGAAACTTAGATTACCCTTACTGTATATTGGTAGGTGTGTGTCACTGACTAGCCTGGGGCCTCATGTATAAAGCCTTGCGTAGGATTGGCGTGGGAAGGTTGCTTACGTAGGACAAAGCAAATACATACGCACCAACACTTTCCGATTCATAAAAGACTGCGTACCGGCGCAGGACTTGCGTACGGGACATCCTATGCCGGTTTCCCTTTATAAATCACAATCAAAACTCGAAATGCGGTGCAGCTTTTGCGGGCTTCACGTAACGCCCATATTTGCCTATAAATAGTAAAACGCCCATTCATTCATTTTGACTGACTGCATGAAGAAGATCGCAGGAAATGACGACAGAACAGCTAAAAAAGACATCTCACACCGTGTCAGATTTTGGTTATTTTGGGGAGGTCGCGATAAATCATATTGTTTGGTGGATGCAGTTTGAACCAGAGTAGCAGCATGGAGGTCGGATCGTCACCAAAATAAATAAATAAGTGATACGAAAAAGGTTAATGACAAAATGATCGGGGAATCCCTCCGGAGTGGAGTCATGACAACTGGATCTGAATTTGGTAGTTTGTGTTCCAGCTGTCGATCAGCAACTATCCATAATCCACCAGTTAAAGGAAATACAACTAATGTGTTGTGTTATATTAGCTGTACAATGTACCACATATGGTGTTCTTTCCATACCTCCTGTGTTTTACGAGCGACTTATCAAGTAGGCTATTGGCGAACCGAACGGCATAAAACATGATTAAACATGATAGTATAAAACCATGCTCGTATCTACAACCTATAGAAATGCAAAACGGCGTCAGTTTAAAGTAATTATATCCTTCTGTTTACCACATCATTTATGAGAATACATTTCTTAACAAGAGAACATAATCGAGGGGTGATCAATAACATTTGCGTATTTATTTCTCCAAGTTATGTTTTTAGGAGTCTCAAACAGGCGTTTGTTTAATCATTTTAAGATTGGGTTTAATCAATGTTTGCAAATACTTCATATATGATAAATGAGAGGTAACATTCTATTTATGGTATTGTTTCCACATATTTCTCTCCATTCTTCATTCTGCTAACGGTGTCGCAGTTTCTCGTCTCTCCCGTTTTTGTGCTTAGTGCGTACGCATGGGTCAGAGTTTGCGTGGAGGACTGCACATTTTCCCGTCAAGTTAGTTTTTTTATAAATCGCAAACATTGCGTAGAAACTGGCGTACGCCATCTTTTGTGCGTACGCACCGTTTATAAATGAGGCCCCTGGAGTTAGATGGAAGTAACTGCACTAAGTGAATGCCTCCACTGCACCTGCAGAACACCTGAATACATATCTAGTCACAATGATTAAGTAGTATTCTTTTGAACTTGCTGCCTCTAGTTTCATTCCCAAACAGCTGAAAGGGTGTAAATCATTATACTTTTTTTCTGAGGTAAGGTCCTACTTTTCACAAAGACACTATTTTTGGTTGGTGGGGGAGGGGCTGTAAAAATATAGAGAATCCCTAGACACTCCTTGTCATACCTTGTTTATATAAAATACTTTTACCACAGCTTTGCAGCTTCCAGATGGTCTAGTCTGTTCATCAGCTTATACAGTCTTAACCAAACATTTTGAAACACACATATATTATGTAAAAGTTAACAGAATGTATGTTTATGAGGCACTTCACATATGAAATAAGTACTGAATATAATAATGTTCTATTTAAGAATGCCTAACATAGGATAGGATTTTTCACAATACAAAGCTTAACTTATACTGCAAGTTTTTCAGAGAAACGCACTTTTAAAGATTGTACATGCCATATAGCTTAGTTTCTGAAAAGTCATTGATTTCTGCAATTACAGTATGGGCCAAAACACTTGAAGTGTGAGAGAGTGAACTGTGTTAATCTATGATGCATTCACTGAGTGTCCCCAGTGCAGAAACTTAGTTTAGGGTGACTGTGAAACATATATTGCTGGGTATAATAATAATGATAAATGTTGGGCTCTCACTAAGAATAAGGCATCTGTAATGTGGACAAAATGTATAAATTACTTCAAGCCCATTGAACTTGTGCAAACCAGCTGTGTTACCACAGAGTTTTAGGAGTAAAGATGGTAATTTAACTATAAAGTAAAGCTATTGTAAAATAAAAAGCCAAAGCATGCTGATTTAATCACAGGACAAACATGGGTAGAACTGATTAATGACATACATAAACTCAAGCAGAGTATTATGTACCGGTAGTGAAATCTTACGTAAAAGAAAAAACGTGCAAACATCTAATGTGACATTTACCATATAGAGGGAGATATAGAAACCAACAACATCAACAATGATCTGGAATGCTGATTGAAATAGAACCAGATAACTCAGTAAGACCACTCAGCATTAGCATGCATGACAAGCAGGTCCACACAGTCAAGTTGCTGCAACAGTGTGAGGCTCCATTTACCTTCGCTGTCAGACATGGCGCCTTGTAAGTCATCCATAATAAATGTGATGTCTCGATCATAGCCTCTTGTCCGAGATTCCTCCCTCATATGTTGCTGTACCTCTGGCAGGGAATGGCTTGAGCCGAATTGGTCCCTGGAGTCGGCAGAGATGGGAGGGAGAGGTCCAGCTGAGGCTCTAGCCATACCCATAGGCTGCCCCACTGGGCTGAGAGGACTCTCCTCCTCAGAGTTCTGAGCCAAAATGGGGATTCGGCCCCTACTTTGGCTGATAGGTAAACTAGTTGGCTTTGCTCTGGCCACCCCAGGGGCAAATGCTGCATCCAGGATCTCTCCTTCTGTTTTAAGTCTAAGTGAGGAGCTGGATAGGTCTCTTTTGATGGATAGATCCAAGCCATAGACAGAAGAGGGGCGGGAAGAGGGGCGTGATGAGGGGCGGGAACGGGTGCCACTTGGGTAGGTGCCATCATCATGGGCAGTGGCCCTGATGGTAGATCCAAGTCCAAGGGACTGCCCAAGATTAAGAGAACCAGCTAAGTTTGCACCCAGGGAGGAGCCTAAATATTTTTGCTGCTCAGACAAGTTCTTTCTTAGCCCAAATGTAATCTCATCCTGAAGCAACCTAGCTGTAGCAGCCAGATTTGTCACAGAAGAGGCCCCAGATCCCATGTAGCTGCCATAGTCGGGCTCCAGGTCCCTAGTCTCCTGAATTGGAGAACATTTTGTGATGGCCTTAGGGTCTATTTGGGCCTTTTTGTTCTTCATTTGTTTCTGGTAAAGCACAGCTGCTGGGAGTTGCTTTGCAGCCTGTTTTTTCAAGAGTGAGCCTGCCAATGCTATATTTTTCTCCTTTAGGGAAGTGGCGAAAGCTGCCATCACTAGGGAGATACTGGGGCTGGCCAAGACCTGTTAAGTGTTCTAGTCCTTCATTTCCTCGCCTGAACTCTTGCTTGATCTGCTGCTTCAGTAGTTTTAGCTCATAAGGCTCCTCCATAGTGTCATCTTCTCCTTTACCATAACCCTGAAGTCGAGATGAACCTAAAAAATCTGCTACCTAAAATGGAAGAATAATATGGAACACATTAACAAATGCCATAATAACAAATGCATGAATGTACAAGTGTTAAATTTAGGAGAATGTGATCAATGACAGATATACACACGAGATTTACCTCCGCTGAGCGCCTGACTTCTGCTGCCCTGAGTAGTCTGTCTGCTTTGGACAACTCCTTATCAGGAATGTTGAATCCAGATCCCAAACCGGTGTTGCTCAGACCTGTTGAGGCCTTGGTGAGTTCCCCTATGTCCTCTATCAGCACGTAGTTCCTAGAATTGTGGTGTTCAATATCAGCATAGAAGGAATCAGCAGAAATGCTAGACATGGGACTGGACGCCATGCTCCTCTCCCCTATCCCTATCCTTAAGTCCAAACTGCCATACTTGCCCCCAAGGTGAGCAACCCCATAACTACTTTCTGTTGAGGTTGGCACAATGAGCAGAGGCTGGTTGTGTATAACTTCATAGTTTGTTCTGATCTTAGGCTCTAAATCAGACAGGGTTGTTTGCCGCTGCTTACCCTGCTGCAAATGCAGAGCATGTTGGTAGCTGGTTGACTGAGCCTGGGCATGAGAGAGGGAAAGGCTTGAGTAAGGAGATACCTGTTGTTGGTAAAGGGACTGCTGCTGATATAGGTTCTGTTGGGTGTAGTGACTGGTGGTTTGGGTCTGAGGAACATATTGGGCATAGTGAGAGTAGGGACTAGTAAGTGTGTTGTACTGGGAATCAGCTTCTGTCTGAGGTGGGATGAATTGGTCAAACTCAGACTGTGGAGCTGTCCGTGGTCTCTCCAGGCCATCACCCCTGGCTTCTCTGATGTTGCTAACCTCACTGTCTGACATGTAATCTCTTTCCTCCGCCACCCCCTGGAGATAAGCCCGCTCTCTCTTCTCTCTCTCCTTAAGTAAGGCATCCTTACGTCGGTTGATACCCATCTCCAGGTACCTACAGTAATAAGAAAAAGGGCATATATTGGTTTATGTTGTTAGCACAAACAATTATTTTGCCATTTCAACCAAAGAGGCAAAAATGTTCTGGCTTTGCACACATTAGTACCTTTGATATGAGTGTGACATGTTTGAGTGTGGAGAGGTCTCACTGAAAGATGTCAAGGCATCCTTTTAGCCCTTAAGCTATGCAAGGTAAGGTAAGAGGGGAATCATGCAGATTAATTAGGAGTAATGATTCGCATGAGAGGGATAAACGCAATTATATCACTTATAACGTATTCATTGGTTACACTATTTAGGATATGCTGTAGACTTTCACAAAAAAGTGCAAGCCTACAGTATATCCTCAATAGTTAATGTTAGATTGGTGGCATCTCACCGTAATTTGGCATCAATCTCCTTTTCCTCTTCATCTAGCTCAGCTTGTTTCTTGCGAAGTTTAGAAGATTCTCTCTCCACCAGATCAAGCTCCTTGTCAATGTCCTGTAGGATCTTTGCCCGGGCCATTGTTGTACTGCGGGCAAGACGGCGACGAGCAGAGTTGGTGCTGTAGCCTGAACGTCCTGCCAGGGAGTCATCCTCAGGAGGGGGGTCTGGTAATGTTCGCTTTACCTTCTTACCTGTACCAGAGGGAGAGCCACGGCTCTAGAAAATAGAAACAAATTATACAAATCTTTCAATCATTATGATAAACACAATTCAAACACAATTAATTACATACTTCACTATTATTTTTGTATTTAATATCTTCTGGTCAGGTTGCAGGTTGCAAACAACTTCCCCACAAATCCCTCACTTTTGGCCTTTAGTTAATTTGAAAATGGGCTACTCGAGAAACATGGCAATACAACATGGCTAACTATGGGAAAAAGTACCTGCTGCCAATGGCGATACGAAGGCCTCATAGAAAGATCACAAAAACACAATGATTCTATAAAGTGATCATACACTCATTAAAACAGTTTTGAATACAACGTCCCATTTCTGCCAATAATTCCCTGTTGATAGTTCTTTAAATAATTGTCATTCTTAAAAAAATATATGTACAAAAATAATTGTTTCTAATAAAAACAATAATCACAATATGTTTGTTATATTCTGCTATGACTTACAGAATAGCTGTCTGCATAATATCCACCGATCCTGTCGTCTGTGGCAGGACTAAGGGATTTAGGATCAGAGAGAGACTTCTGACCAGCCTTTAGTGACCGAGGTCCAGAAGAAAATCTGGTTGGGTCCGCAGTCAGCATTCTTTGCCCTCCAAGTGACTTTTCCGGGGACATGGGGGAGACTGAAGTGTAGAAGACTTTAGACTTCGAGGGGACATCTGCTTTCACCTGTGTGCTGTAGCCAACGTCAATGGGTGTGTACCTTCTGTCATAGTCTGTCTGACAGCTCAGACTTCCACCCCTCTGAGAGTTCTCTGGAGCTGAGATATGTTTAACAATTTCTACCCTAGTGTCTATCTGGACATGTGGTCGTTTGATAGTTCCAGAGTGGTCGGTCTGGACAGATATCTCTGCCACTGTCTGGATTGCAATGCTAGTGACCTTAGAGACATGTTTTCCCTCGCTGCTATGTTTTCGAGTGCGTCGTCGAGCTTTTGTTGGAGCATCCCATTCATCTTGGTCCTCATCATCAGTCTGAGCTGAGCTATCGTTATTTCTCTTGTTCTTCTTTCTCCTTCCTACGGGCTGCTTCTCTGCTGAGTCTTCATCATCTGTCTGCACCCCACTATCAATTATTCTTTTCCCTGTGTCCTGATCAGCTTGTAGTTTCTTAACTAGTTTAAGCTGGTTCTGACCCTCCTCTAACTGTGTCCCAATAGATGAAGTTGTAGACTCATCTTTGACAGGCCAGTACTGGCCACTGTCCCCTACCCCTGCATATTTAGCTTCTAGCAAGTTTCCTGTAGTACCAGTGCTACCGTAGTGCTCATCAAGCTGGCTCTGGAGTTGCAGTTGGAGTTGTTGGATTTGTTGCAACTGGTCTTTCTGCTGGGCATAGGTCTCCTGCTGGGCCACCACGTGGGCATGGTGCTCTTCTTCTTGTTGCATTAGAAGCTGCTGTTTCAAAGCCTGGAGCTCCTCAAGCTCCCTTTGCACCATGAGCTGTTCCTGTTCACGGTAACGCTGGATCTCATGCCTCTCCCACTCCAGCTCCTCAGCGAGACAAAGCTGCTTAAGCTTCTCTAGCTCTAGAAACTCCCTCTCCATCTGATACTGGGCCATCTTGGTGTTGTCTAAACCAGGGAATATTGAGGAAGAGGCCAAGGCATCCAGAGAGGCAGCAATTGCTTCCAGGGTGGTGTCTGAGTACATGTCTGGGTAGCCTGTTATGATGTCAGCCAAAGCTGTGGGGAAAAGCTCCTTAGGTAGCCCTGTATCAAAAGGAATAATCTCTCCAGGTTCTGCACTGGGAATAAAACCATATGGATGTGGCAATGACTGGTTCTGGACTGTTGATGTAGGTGGTAGGGGACCGCTAAAGATGGAGCCTGGTTGAGTTGTAACTGCATATGTGGAAGCATCTGGGGCAGCAACAGAGGAGTAAACTATTCCATCTGAGGTTATTAGAACTCCATTTACTCCAAACCCAGCTGCGGGGATCTTGGAGTATGGAGCAGTAGTCATCCCAGGGTAGACTCCAGTTGCTTTGCTAGTGTAGTCAACTGCTTTACCTGCCATAATAAGTCCAAAGATATATATTTTACTTAATTTACTTTATCAAATACATTATAATTCAGAAACATTTTTAAACAAGTTAAAGGTCATGCAATTTCGATACAAAAGGTTCATGCAACATGCATATCTGCAGTCATTTTGGCTAGCAAGATGCAAAACCAAAACATTGAGGTATCACACGCAGGCACACACATGCATCTGTAAGAAGAAAAAAACAAAACAAGCAGGTATTAATATTAAATGAAAACGTGCATATAACACCAAAGCAAATCAAACAGTTATGCAAGCATGAATTGATAGACTGGAAAAAGAACACACAAATATATGCTTTCAATAAGCAAATTATTGAACCGTAAAAGTAGAAGCTTTAGACGAATGGGATTTTTAAAATAAAAGTTTCTATTATAGTAAGACATTTAATGGAAGTCCGTAAAGCAAGCAAAGAAAATGGTAATGAAACACTTGTAAACATGCAGAAATACACCCAAACTCACCAGCTGAAAGTTTGGCAGCAGTGAGGTCTATAGCGCCATCTGAAGATCCACTGAGATAGTCAAAGTCATTCTTTGGATCATAGGGAAACAGTCCTGCCTCTGTCAGGTTGGTCTCAGACATTGAAGCTTTTATTCCAGTCATGTTTTTGATACCATACATTCCAGTATTATCGTATTGGTAGTGGTCATCTCTGTAGCCAAAACGGTTTTCAGGCTGCTCTGTAACTGCGGGCTGTGTTCTGCAGCTTCCTGTAAATGGTAGCTTGTAAATGACATCACAGCAAACACTCCTCCTACCCGCTGTAAGGTCTACTGGAGTCCCATCATCTTCTACAATAGTGGTCACGACTCCTGGGCTTGAATCAGACAAAGCAACCATAGCTCTCATTGGTCTGTAGTTAGAAAGATCCATGGCCCCTGTGGCCTCCAAAGAAAGGACAGGACCTCCATTGCTTATAGCTACAGGGGAAGTGATTTGCTGTTTGCCTCCTGTGACCAGAGCTCCAAAGGAAAGATTTATAGGTATGTCTTGAGCTGTGGATGCTACAGCACTGACTGCGGGCTGCGAATTCACAGGTCTATAAACAATCTGAGCCATCGGTTCAAATGATTTGTATGTGGCGAGAGACAGAGGCAATGATGTAACAGGGCCCTGCAAATCCAGTGGTTTCTCTGCTGGAGTGGTGTTGTATGAGGCAATGGTTGCTGTACATGTGACTATTGTGATGCTGTCAGTGACCACAGACAGCGTGGTTGCAGGTGTGATCGCTGAACTAAGATTGACTATCTCAGGCTGCACTGCTGTGATTTGACGCCCACTAGAGTAACTTGAAAAAGACTGTCGACATGACTCAGGTGGTGTCAGGTCCATGCCCTGTTCTGTCATCTTTATGGCAACCTTCATTGTTCGTAAATCCATAACATCACCAGGGTAGATGATCTTCCTGTTCTGTTTTGACAGAGGTTGTATTTTAGCTATATCTGGTTGTATAGTGATGTGTACACTGGGTTGAGGGACTTGTGGAAGTCTTTGTTGAACAACTGAGACAGTGGTCCTCTGGACCTCAGTGGTAAACACCTGAGTGACCAGGCTAGGCAGGCTCTCAGGAGGTTGGCCTGAAGTGGAAATTGAAGAAGAAATCATGTGACTCATACAGGAGACCACCTTTTCTGGTCCTCGAATCTCTTTGCTCTCAATAGACTCTTGCTGAATCTTAGTTATAGTAACTGGAGCAACAGATACACCATATGGAATGTCATGTGCAGTGGGGATTGATGTTTTCCTAGTATATGCCTCAGTGGTTATTATCTCCAGAGGATGGTCATATTCCGATGAATAAGTTAATACCTGTGGTCTTTGTTCTGTTGAATGAACATATTCTCTCCTGTAGGGGACCTGAACTGCATAATGATCAAAAGCAACATCTTTTTCAGCTGGCATGTTCACTACATGTGCCAATGGTAATGATTGCTGCATAGTTATGGATTCTCCCCTGGGGGTAGCAAAGGCAGCAGTTGTAAGCCTAGGTGTTTCATATTGTGCTGGATAGGAAAACAGTTCACTTGTACTGTAACTTGGCTGTACTATGGAAGATACAGATGTCCAAATTCCACTGGTGGTTTCCTCATTTGAAACAACTCTAACTGGCATCCCTGCCACTAGGGGATGCAACACTGATGATGGCAATGAAGCACCTGCATCAACATCCTTTGTTATAAACTCTGTGGGTGTATCACGTTCAGGCTGCATTGCTATGACCTCCAGTAATGGTGATGAGTATGACATGACTGAGGATGTAACTCCTCCATAGACCTGTGGAATATGAATAACATGAGGTACTTCTGGTTTGACTGCCATTGGTGATACTTCAGGTGTTACTTCACCAATTGTAGGAGTTATCATCTTATAAACTGTAGTCAGTTGCATTAACTTATTCACTTCCGGTGTTGGGGTAACTTCAACAACTTGAGGTACAGGATGGGTTGCTGGACACACTGTTTCTACTCCTGGTATAGTAATAGCAATGTCAGTTGTTATCACCTCTGTAGGTATTTCAAACTTGGTAGGGAGGGTCAACCCTTCAGCTGGAGGCCATGGGTGCTGCGAAGATAGCTGCTGTGTCAATAGAGGCATATCTTCTAAAGGCTGAACAGTTTGTGGTACTGATGGGTATTCAACAATGGCGTGAGCATAGTTAAAAACTGGAGGCAATTCGTGCTCTGTAGCTTCAATCTCTGTAAGTTGCTGTTGAGAGGAAATGTGATGACTCACTCCTATTACTGGTGATCTTACCATAACTCTCTCTGTGACTATGACATGAGAAGGCACATCCTGTTCATTTTGTAGCATTTCAATTTGAGTTGCAAATTGTGGATAAAGAACAGTTGTAGTTACTGCCGCTGCCCTAGTTTCGGGACCAAGTGAAACAAACGGTATTTCAGGCTGCAGTGGCACACAAACAACTTCTGTAAGAGGCTGTGGCTGCACATATACAGTTGGTATAGGGGCATGAGGAACTAGTGCTTCAGCTGAAACCTCTGATGGCACTGTTGTGACCTCTGTAAGTTGAAAATCAAGTGGCATAGACTGGGCTCTTGCCGCTGCTTCGACTGTTAGTGGTTGAAAAATAACTCTAGGCTCTTGGGTTGTTGAAATGACTTCATCCATTGTTGTATCATGTGTCAGTGGCTGAGTAATTGATTGTTGCTGTAGAACATATGGTTTCTTAATTGGGGGAGGTACACTATGTGCCTGAATAGACATTTCCTGACTTGATGACACTACTATGACATCAGCGAAAGATGGTGCTAACTCCTCAGAAGATATATCACCTCTCTGCACTTGATTAGCCACTCCTCCAGAAGTTGTCACTTGCTCTACTGCCACAGTTGGAGCTATGGTTATTGGAGGTGGAAGCCTAACAGTAGGGACAGAGGCTCTTCTTATTGTAGCCTGTGCTGAGAATGCTTCAGTAAGTGTTTTTTGCTCCAAAGGTGTCGTCCGTACCCCAGACACTTGTGTAGATGGGATGGAGCTCCGTCTTACTGGTGCCTGGACTGTTATAACCTCTGTTGGTGAGCCAGGTTCAGATGGAAGTGTTATTACCACGTAGGTCTGCAAACATTTGGCGTGTCTAGGAGACAAAGGTGATTTAGGAGAGATAGCTCCCAACTTATATTCAACAGGTCGTGTCAGGCTAAGTGAGAGAGCATTTGGAGGTTCTTTAACCCTGGGTAGTGTTGCAGCTTTAGGGGCCACATGAGGAGGAGGTGGCTTGACACTTTCTCCTGGTTTGTGGCTGAAAACCAGTCCAGCTGGAATTGATACAGGCTTAGGTGGTATGGGAGGAGGAGGCTTGGCAATTTGACCATGACCAGTTGTTGTATCAGAAACGTGTCCTACTATTGCTCTACCAGTTGTCACTGCAGTTGGAACCAGTGGTTTTGGATAAACACTTGGCTTGGGTAATGTGGTAGGAAGTGGTGGAGTTATACCTGCTACAGGTATTTCTACTGTTTCTACTGAATGTGCCCTGGCCATAGGTTTAGGCGGAAGTGGTGGAGCTGAAGCTACTGGCACTGATGACACCTTAGTCGATAAAGAAGCTATATCTGTGCTGGGTATTTCTGAAGCTTTTTTACTACTTTGTGGCAGAGAAGCAGCAGCAGGTATTGACTCTGTGCTAGCTAAATCTCGTGGGATTTTTCCAAGCAGAGACATATTTTCTAGACTAGGCACTATTATGACAACGTGCCCATGTCTGGTTGGGGTCACTATTTGAGGTACACCTGCACTCTCTGGTTGCATATCTTCCATTCTTGGCTGTATATCCACAACTATGGACTGCATTGGCTGGCCAGTCACTGTGGCTCGCCTAGCTATTGTTGTGGTCCTAGTAGGGGTAACATCCTGAACAGTTTTTACAAGTGGCAGCTCTGGTAATGACACTGACGTAGACCGAGGGGGTGGAGGGGGGGGAACCTTCTTCTTAGTTATAGTCGTTGATGCTGCAGACACCTGGGCTGCTTGAGATGAAGCTGGGATTACTGGGCTTGTTGATGTGACGGCTGCTTGTAGAGGGACCACTTTGGCTTGGACTTGAGCTTGGGTAGATACAACTGCTGGCAGTGGGGTTTGTGCAGAGTTTGTAGATGTAGTTGACACCAAGTCCGGCATCATCTGGACTATGGCTGATTCTGGATTGGAGACTACAACAGGTGTAACTGTTACTAGTGTTGTAGGTAGAGCTGAGACAACAACAGGTTCTGGACTCTGAGCTGAGACCTGTATAACAGCCGGAGCTTCGATAGGCATCTGAGAAGGGGATGAAACCAAGTCTGGCATTTTAACCACAACAGGTAGAGGAGTAGACATCCCCACTAGGCCTGGGGTTGAGGCTCCAGCTGCAGAAGCTTTAACTTGAATTGCTTCAGTGGTTTGAGCTTTGGACGGATCCCACACCACATCTGGTATTGTAACTATAACTGTGTTTGGAGTTGGATGAGAGACTGAGTCCCCACTAGACGGTTTTTCTGCAATTGGGGCAGGTGATGGTGATGAGTCATCTGGAGGTGATTGAGTTACATATGAAGTTGGAGGTGTTGGTGTAGAAAGTGGAGTTGATTCTGATGAAAGAGGTGTTTGAGCCTGGAATGAGGATGATGATGTAGCATTAGAAGCCAAACTGGAATCTGGAGTAGCTGGTGAAGTTAGAACTGACATTGGTGATGTGGGTGAGGGTGTAGATGTAAGTTCTGGGGCTGATATTGGAGTTGGAATAGGTTTTGCCTCTGGAATTTCACAAACCACACAGATAGGTTCCATATCAGCAGTTTCTGACAAAGGTGGGCTTATGGATGCATCGTCTTTAGTCTCAGAGTCATCGCTGGTGGTAATGTCAGAGGAAATACCAACACCATATTCTTCTGCAAGGCTGTCATCCTCTTCCTCCCCAGATGAACACTGGGTGATCTTGAGATCTGGTATGGGGAACAATGCTTTTCTGAGTGCAGGATCTTGAGGAACCATAGGCCTAACAAAACCAATAGATCCACTAGGTGTAATAGTAACAACAGTTACCTCGGAGCGCTTAGGCTGTTCAGAGGGCCGTGGTGGCGCTGGCCTTTTCTTTTTCTTTAATGTCAGTTCACTAGAATATTCAGTGAATATAAGAGGCATATCAATTTTTTCAGTGCGGGATGTTTCTTCCATTGGCATGGTAACCACACAGGTCTCAGCAATCAAGGAAGGCCGGGTGACCGAAGCCCCTAATGAGGAAGATTCTATGGCAGTCTGGGACTGTTGAAACTCTTGTTCTATCATTATAAGTTCTCTCTTTTTCTGCATCATCTCCTCATAAACCTCCTCTGGAGATCTGAGTTTTTTGAGACATTCGGAGCTTGTTTCCTGATTTACTTCTTCCTCTTGAGATCCACCCATCTTATTTTCAGGTTCCTCAACTAAAGATTCATAAAGATAGTCTTCTATTGCCATTCCTCCATAAAGTGGTTCAATATCAGGAGGACTCTCGCCTGGAATAGCTTTTGTCTCTTGAAAAATGTCCTCATATGCTTCTTCTGCATTTTTCAATGATTTTGTCACATAATAATCTTCAATGGATGGATCAGATGGGGTGTATGGTATCACTGTTATGGAAGGCTTACGTCCTCTCTGTACAGCTCGCTTAGCCTCTGATTCTGATTCTAAACTGGCAGAGTACTCAGACCCAGATGTTCTACTAGTGTCATCAGTTACAATGACCTGTCTCAGATTCTCTGTAGAGGAAGCAGTTGGAGATGGAAGTGGGCCACGGGCTTTAAGTTCATCTTTGTCTTTCCTAGACTTCCCCACACTTGTTATCTTCTCATCCTCAGAGGAGTCTTCAATGGTGGGGAGAGGCTGGGTTGACTGCCTGTGCTTACCCTTGCGATGATGTTTGTCCCCACTGACTTTCCTGTGACTAGGGCTGCTATCACTGTCCTCCTCTAGAGACGATGCTGAGGTGGGTGACGATCCTGGTGTAAAGCTAGATACCTGGACACTAGATGATCCCTTTGACAGGGATTCTGTGATGCTCTCTACTTCTTCATCAGGACTTTGTCTTTGTTTCATGACTGGTAAAGCTTTCTTGAAAGTAGAGCTTGGAATTATTTCGGGAGAAGTTGCGGCGTCAGTTTTCTGGAGGGCTTTTTTCCCGGCTGAGCTTTCTTCATTCTCTGTGCTGGATTTTCCATACAGTGATAGTCCTGTGACTGAAGCATCATCAAGCACAACCTCTAGGATAGCTTTCTCATCTGCCAAATTATTTTCTTTCTCATCTTCTGAAAGAGACATTTGTTCTTCATCACCCATACCCAATATCTGCCTGCGGATGAATTCTTCATCATCCATAGAGTCATAGTCAGCACTTTCAGTTTTAATGTCCTCACTGCTGGATGACAAATTGGTGACCGCCAACTTTTTCCTCTGGACTTGAGGTGAGGGTGTGAGCTCACTGTCACTGCTTTCAACCATTGGTTTAACACTTAGGCGTCTTCTTTCAGCTTTTACCTCCTCCTTTTCTGGAGTAGTTGTATCTGTATTTATATCATTTGTACTTGTTTCACTAGCCACCAGATTATCCTTAAATTCCTGTGATATTGGTAAAATATGGGGTTGATCTTCATCATGCTCCTCTGCTTTGGAGACCTTTCTTTCTTTTATGGTCTCTTTTTTGATTCCATCTTGCTCCTAAAAATGTGAAAAAAACAAAATCACAGTTAAAACGATAAAAACGCTGTTGAAGGTTAATCCATAGGTTAATCCAATGTGTCTGTGTCACTTTGAAATGATTTCTGATACTCCATCAGCAATAAACTTAGTTTTAAGTTTTCAGATTTCAGAGCGTAAGATAGCTTTCGCTTTGGGCAAACTGCGGGCGCATAGCCCCCACTTCTCAATGGTAACGTTGGTGTGTATGTGGAAATTCCCCTTCGATTCTATTGGCTCTAACGGTTCAAAAGAGATGTCAATCATCAAAATCGACCAATGGGTTCCAGAGAAACGGCAAAAACGCCCATTTCCACCCAAATGACCCCAGAGGTGGAGTTATTTTTGCTAAACCTCTCTAAAAAGGTCAAATGTCACTTGTTTTGCATCAATCTTTATACAGGGTACTTATTATATATTGTACTTTGGATTCCTAAAGCTTTTAGTCTACTTACCCATCATCCAAGGGTGGTTTTCACTATAAGTCAAAAATAATTTTTGGACAAACACTATAATTTAAATTGTTTTACTATGTTCAATCTGAATTTTCTTTAAAATAAAAAACATCTCTATTGATTATGACTCTTCTACATCCAACTCACAGGTTTATCATTACTTTGAGAAAAAAGATTATTAATTTTCCCCTTTTAGAAGTGTAGTTATGGTCATTTGTTCTGGAAATGTCCTTTTCAAGCCTGAGACCTGAAAAACAGGCTTGGGGTGTAACAGGTTAACACATTTCCCTGATGAAATATACAGACTTTCTTGGTCCAACACTACCAGATATGTCTCCTTGTTTATTTTCTTTGGCATGTTATTAAGAGTAATTCTGAAAATAGTCTATTGGACTGGGAAGATGCATTATTCACCCATGTCTTGTCAATATACAATAAACAACACAAAGTGGATATATATATTTAGACAAAAACAAGATAAACAGAATATAGATCTATTTTGAGTTTAACAGTCCAATTGAAACCCAAAAGTGTTAGCAGATGATGCATAGTTCTATGACAATAGTGCCACTAACCACCCTAATCACAATAACATCATCATATGATGATGATGGACAACAAAGTTTATTTACAAATTATGGCAGAGAAAATAATGGAAGTTACTGCAACATAATGCAATATGATAGTAATGACTCAAATAATTATTGGCAAATAGCTTATACTGTACTGTAACCCTGTTAGTGAAAACATAACGAAAGCTGAACACTGTACATTTTGTAGCCAAAATTAGGAAAGACAAACAAAGGAAAACATTGGAATTTAAGTACACATTAATATGGGGTATGCTAGGAAACTGCCAGAACATTTGCACATTTGTAATTTGTCAATGCAATAATAATTTGAAATCCAGAGAACCCATCCTTACTTTTATGACAACGGTCTCCGTAGATATTTGTTGTGTTTCTGGAGTTGAGGTGATGTCAATAATATTATCAACCAACTCATCAGCAATTTCCTTGCTGTCAGTTGGTTGTTCTTCCAACACCAGCTGTCGTTCTTGCGACTTTGTTTGCTCTTCAACTTGCTGTAAAGATGTTGGTAGGTCTGTCAGTTCGATATGGTCATCAGCCTGTACTTCCTCAATGATCTTCCCATGAGCAGACAATTCAGCAATTATTTCGGTTTCTGGGACAACTTCAGCCATGGCAACCTCTGCAGAAATAGAGGAGGTAGATACAGCTGTTGCTTCAATCACTGGGAAAGAAGAAGCTTCAGCTTCACCTGCTACAGCTTTGGCTTTTGGAATGTCCGGTTTAGAATCTTTGGCTTTGGAATCTTTTGTTTCAATGAACTCCAGTTTCACAGCCTCCTCTTTATTTTCCACTGTTACAGTCTTTGGAACATTTGTGGTTGGCACTACAACCGTTCCTTTCTCTGTTGTCTTTTGCACACTGGCCATAGTAGGCATAATGGCTTCCGCTGTTGATGCTGCTAAAGGCTGTTTGTCTGCTGTAACAGGTGAAACCGTTGCTATTGTAGGTATGCGTGCGATCTCTGTCTTGATTTCTGCAGAAGCTGCTTTTGCCATGGTTTCAAGTTTGACAGATGTAGGTTCCATCTGTGCTTTTTTAGTTGAAACTATTGGTACTGCCTTGATGGGAGGCGGGGTGGTCTCTGGTTTTGTGGCAGGTACTGGTGAAAGCTGGGGCCTTTTTCCTGAGTCTCCCAGCTGTCCAGACAAGGCCCTTTGAGTCTGGCAATTCAGACACAGCCATTCCTTCTGCGATCAAAGAAGCAAAGGCACCTTATGATTAGGAATCATACTATAGCGAGATTAAAATTAGAACACACTGTACAGGTCCAACCACTTAGCTTTTAACCAGTGTAATATATCACCTTTACAATAGAAAATGTTTCAATATATTTAGTTGATATTAAAACTGAATTCTGCAGAGTGTTATGTTATGTGTTGGATTTGTGATGCTTCTCTACGAAATCCCTCGTAAAAGCAAGAGCAATTTCTGCCAAATCCAACAGTCTTTGCCATATAAATGATAACATCCTTGAAGCTCTGACAGAAAAAGCATTTTTCGAAAAAACTTACAAAACCAAAAATGTATGCTATTAGTAAACAGGAGTGAAATATTCCCAATGGTAAACATGTATGAAATGTTTATTTAAAATACATAAAAAACCAATGTATTTTCTTTAAGCCATTAATTATGTGTTTGCTGTGCAGAGACGTTGACGCACATTAGGTGTTACATTAGGTGTCGCTTTACACCTGAACTACTGCGTGTCAATGTGAACAATAATGATTAAGACATGATTAACAGTCTTTTTGCAAGTAATGCAAATATAATCTTTGTTTAGTATTCATTGCTCAAGAAATTAAAACGTCCAACACATAAATCAAAAATGTAAGCTTGTTGTCTTTAATTACAACATAATCGCCAGTGCCACTTTCACACTGGAATTTGTGACACTTGGAAGACAGCAATACAAATGCTTACCTTGCAAAAGAGCTAATCACATTTTATAAGTAATGCTATTACTTTGACATTTTAGTTCTCTGAAAACACGATTTTTATCAGATGTAAGCTTTGTTAATTGACAGTTAAGGAGGAGAGGAAAACATAGACTCTCAATAGATAAGGCAACCTAGCCGGCCAAATCACAGCAATGTGCCTTCCTCTGCAGAGCCAGGGCGAGCAGTTCTGATACACAACAGAGATTACATCGCACACAAATCCTCTTTGTGAAACACCATGATCTAACCATGAAATAAAGTATTAGAACTTATACACTTCTTTAAGATATTAATAATGGAACCACAACTGTCACATGTGCACAGTAATGTTCACACACTTTATAAACAGATTAGCATTGGTTCAGGATGCAATGACGTCAATTAATAACATAGTTCACAGGCCCATGTGCCCAATGAGTTTAGTAGTGATGTAACATACCCTCTGTCATAACCTGGCTCAGGCTTGATTTTACAATCCACTTTATCTTTGTTCCCATAAACCCCCAAAATATCTCCATACAAAGAACTTTTGTGATTATCTCCTTATAAAAAGGACTACGATAAAATACAAATATCAAAATAATTGGTTAAAACTGGCAAGGAAGTCATTTGTATTCCTTACATACTAAGGTTATAGCAAAACTTCCAACAGCTAATGCAAATAGTGCTTGGCTATAGAAGATGATACAATCCACCCGAGCAGCACCAACACAGCAAGAAAACTGATGGTAAACTGCATTCCTGTCAAATGCTTTCACTGTTCAACAGGCACACATAAATACATCTAATACATCATGCATACAGTCTTAGATAATTAAATTCATACATTATTAATGCATAACATGCTTGACTTTTGAGAAACCTGATACTGATGGAGCCGCTTTGATTGATACTGATATGCATTTGTTCAGTCAGTTGTGGTTCATTCAGGGATATGATAATCATATTTGCCCACAACAGTACCAAACAAAGCCTCATTAGAATAGTGCATTATTTTCATAGTGGTGCAAACCAATGAATAATTTAAACCTCAATTACATGTGATCTTATGAAATCTCAGCCTCAAATATGTTTACATTTGGACAGCTTTAGTTGTGTATGTTTTATTGGAACATATAAAAGTGAAATCCTATTGAACAAAGTATAAAATATAACAAATGAATACCAAACTAATCAGAACATATACACATGTACACACCCCACAGCACCTTACTTGCATCTGATAATTGATTTACCTCAATCTAAATCAAACTGCAATACAAATAGAAAAACATCTTAGGAAACAGAAACACTTCATCCCCTCAGTGCCAGTCACTTCCTCACAGCCACACAGTCTGAAAACCATGCGTCAGAGCCAGGGCTTGGAGTGTCGCCATCATCCTTTTGTCTAATTAAATCTGTTTTATGAGTAAAGAGAAGGAGCCCCAAGCAGAGAGCCATGGGAGAGGCTGCTCCCCACGATTAGTTTGTGAGCTGGATTACCAGACCTTCCCAATGTCAGCAGTCAGGAAATGCAGTTCTTCACACACTGGCATGCTGCATTGGGCCGGATCTGCTGAGCTTTACTAGGAAACGACCACAAGCAAGCAGCATTCTAAATGTATGGAAAACAGTCTATTCACAATGAGCAAAGATTACCTTCAAACCTTTACTTTTTTTAAGATACCCACATATTTTACATTTCAATACCAAGATCCACATTTGGCACATTTCCCCATGCATTATGGATAACTGACGAGGGGAAAGCATCTTGTTCAGTATCAGCATTGGTAATAACAAGTGTTGTTTTTTTTAACAAAGACGTACATCTAGCGTACAATTAAAATGCCCAAACATCTATCAAACTGCTCTTAATGGGAATGCCTGTCAACCTTAACTCTACTTATTAATTAAATCTGTAATTTGTATTTGCATAAACCAGAACCATCTCATGACACAGCAGTCGCTGGATATTAAACGGGTCCTGACATTTACATTTTATAAAGGCTGGACTGGAGAGACAGCCTTTGGGCTGTTTCTTCACCACTATTTCTCAGCCTCTCTTCAGTGCTTTCCTGATGGTGGTAAGTCTCTTATTGATTTTCTGGCAGATGCATTTGGCTCAGGCTGTAGCTGGCTAATATACTTGGCTTTCAGCGGCCCCCACAGAGCAGAGCTCTTCATAAATCAAGCTCTCTGATGGTAGAGAACATTGACCTACTAATCTGTAATAAGCAGAGTGCATTTGTAAGATTGTATACAAAAGCAAGGGGTGTATTCCTTATACACCCCTTGCTTTTGTATACAATCTTACAAATGGCTTTTAAGCTAACTTTTTTTGATGTCAAGATGTAGTAGGGTGAAGATTTTGGGTAGCAAATGGAGGGAGAGGGCATAGAAAGATGAATCGGTCTTCCATGGAAGCTTTGAGGAATATGCACAGGTTAATGCTCCTAAAATATCTTATAATAAACAAATATGTTAAGGCAAAATACAATGTAGCGACTGCTTTCCACTGGGGAAACATTTTCTTTAATTTCAAGCTAAATATATGGCCATGTGGTAAAATGTTAGTAAAAACAAGGGAACTATCTTTCATGCTGTCTCATCTGTCATACACAAAGCTTTAGCTGGCAAAGCGTGACACACGTGTGTCCTACTTATCAGACAACAGTCACTCCCAGGCTTTTGATGGCATCAGCTGAAGCAGAAAAGGCAAAAGAAAAATGCATGGACTTGCTTCCAGCATTCAGTTTGCCTTAAGTGGCCTCCTCATCTTTCTAACCTTATAAGCCCTTTTCAAAAAGGAGGCATTTCTGCCCTTCTACTAAAAAAAACACAGAGATGGATAATGGGGAAGGGGCAGGCACAGCCCCTTTGGATAAAGAAGGTCATTGGATAGCTATAATGGTGGTTCATCCTGTTCAGTGGTGTTAAGGCCAAGCTATTTCTGTTTTTCATAGCTATTAAGAGGAATGAATCTATGTTGTACAAACAACAGCATATCCATGCTTGTCCCTTCCCCCATCCAACCAATACCCAGAAGGCTCTTTCCCCTCTCGGGTGTATAATAACGTGAGAAGTGTCAATTACATAAGAGGCACAGCTATTCTGTTTCTATTTGTTTACTTTTTCTCCACAATAACGTGCCATGCGGGCAGAGCGTGTGGTATACGGGCAAAATATGTTGTCTTTTATAGAAATTAGGCATATTATATGGCTTAAATGTAATCAACGTTGTCACATTGTGGAAATACTGGCATTACAGATGACCTTATTCAAAATCTCCATTCAAATGAATACAGTGATTTACCAGACATATTATTACATTATGTCAAATCATAAACACATGCAGTGCAGTATGGATCATATGATCTCCTTTAAAATGACTAAGACAAGAAAAAAACCTTTTTACTAAATCTACATAGGTCTACCAAATCCCATGTTAAACAAATTGTTTAAGGTATTAACTGCTAATACTGTTTACAAGAAAAACAGATCAACTTGACAGAGGAATTTAAAGAAGCTTTAAAGAAAAAAGAGGAAATTATTACTGTACCTAACATATGATATTATAAGGCTACACAGGTCACAACACCAAGTATTTATCAATGACATGCATGTGTGCGTAGACATGTGTCACTCCCCAACACAAGACAATAAATACTATGGAGCCACAGATATGTGAGAGAGCAGATGGACTCAAAGGAAATGTCTGCTGCTCTAATGTACTGCATTATGTTGTGTTGGAATTAATCCATTTCACCTCTGCTTATTGGCATATTACAGGGCTTTGCCATCTCAGATCTCTCCCTGGGACTGGAGATTCCCTGCTCCCTGGTCTGTTGTGGCAACAGATCCCATCTTACTAATGCTGTTGCATAACCCTCAATCACTTTAATACATTTTCAGTGCTGCCGGTCTGCTGAAGCTGTCTTCTCATGAGCCATTATGTAATAACTTGGGTCACTCTAGTTGACAAATAGCAGCAACCACATAGCCTTTTTATTAGTTTGTTTTTAATTTACTTTGAGAATTCGCAAAGTAGGTCAATAATTCAAATAGATTACAATAATGAACTGCAAACCAAACCTGTTAGGAGTCATTTTCTGAAAACCCTCTGCTGTGGCACCTTCATTGTTTATTTCACAACACATGTTTGTAATGGAGTAAATGCAGCCTATTGTGTACTACAATGTCAGTAGAAATACATCGAAAATGTTACCATCCTTTAAACTTCAAAAGAATATTCCAAAAAGGAAAAACAAAAAAGTAATATTAACGGTACTGCTTGAACACTCAAACACTTTTTCATGTATGTAACGTGAAGAACTCAGATCTTTTAGTGAAGTAAAAGTAGTTATTACACAGTAATGGATACACTGTTTTGCATTCTTTACTTACTAATTCAAGTATCAGCATCTAAGTAAACCAAATAAATGTAGTTGAGTAGAAAAGTAAAATATTTGCCTCAGAATTGTAGATAAAGTATAAAGTAGCAGGAAATGAAAGTATTCAAGTAAAGTACCTCAAAATTGATCTTAACTACAGTACTTCAGTAGATCTACTCAGTTACTGTCTACCACTGATGTTAAGTATCAATGAACATAAGGCAGCTATTTATAATATGTATTTGCTGTGGTCTGCTCTTGAGATGAGTGCAAACCGTGTTTCAACGACAATGTTGTGATTTACTGAAGCTGAGCATGTTCAAATTACTCCAAGTGGAGGGCTAAACAAATGGAGTTCAGCGTAAGTTCAATCAGGGATACTAGGCTTCATTTATTCTTAATTCTCTCTTTCACCCATCCACCTGCTTCTAATCAGCTGGTTATTGGCGTCCACTCTTTTAGGTTACCAACTACATTTTGCCACCATCTCCTAAGCCAATCATAGTGCTGCTGTCAAACCTAAAATCACTTTTCCTCTCTTCTGTTGTCGGTTGTCATTTCATTTCCAACTTTGACCACAAGTCATCAAAACATTGCCTGGGTTTGGCTTCATCATTCGCTTCATGATATTACAATAACCACCAGTGTCTATTTGCCTACAGTGTCTACTTAGATGTAATTTGTCCAGTTAAACAAAACAATATTTCCAGCAATGCATACTATTCACTCCAGCCCTTTAAACATAAAGCAACTAAATTGGTCAAATAGAATGGTTAATTTTGGAAATCCTAAAATAAAATGTTTAAAGGCCAAACCTCAAACATTCAAAAAAGTTTATGATGAGTGAAATAAAATGAAAATGTGAAAATAAATGATTAATTGCACTCACCGCTCCTGTTTGAGGCATGGGGTTAAATCCACAAAGGTTGCAGACAGTGGTCTTGCATTCCGTACAGGTATTATAATTAGGAGGATCCTTGGAGCTTGTGTTGAGTTCGACCTTACAGAGTGGACAGGTGGACAGAGCTGCTTTAGAGGCAACTTTGGTCACCTCTGTTGATTTTGGAGGCACTGTTGGAGCCTTCTCTACTTTGGCCTGTGCTGATGGAGCAGGCTTGGCCTGCTGAGGTGGCTCTGATTTCTCTGCAGCAGCTGGTTTTGTGTCCTTTGCAGGGGGCATCTTCGGAGAAACTGGAGGTGTTAGTTTAGGAGAGATTGTAGTGGACATCCTACGTGGAGAAGGTGGTGTGGTTATCAGTGTAGATGCAGAGCTGAAGATAGACGAACCAAAACCAAACATCTTCCCAGTCACTGATTCAGCAGGCTTTGCAGCAGCAGGTTGTGTTTTAGGACCACCAAAGCCAAAGAAGCCTCCTGACTCCTGTTTTGCAGGCTGAGCTGGTGGTGGTGTGGCTTTTGCAGGGGGGGTCACAGATTTTAAGGGCTGTTGTGGTGGTTTTCCAACTTCTTGTTTTAAAAGATCTGCCTTGACCTCTTGCTTTGTAGTTTTAGAAAGCTGTACAGGGGGGGGTTTGCCAACAGACGGCTGCTGGCCAGCCACCTCCTGTCTTTGTCCTTTTTCAGTACCTGAAAGCACCTGTGTCTTCTGCACAGAATCTCGTCGTGGTGTCTCAATTGGCACTGGAGCCTCAATTGTTGACATAACTTCTCTTTTTGGAACTGCTTGAATGACCTCTTCTTTTACTACTGCAGATGCTGCTGACTTCTCCCTTTGCACTAATGTCGGTATGTCCTTCAGTTCAGAGCCAGGAGGTATAGAAACCTTGGTTGGGGAGGGCTGAGGTTTCAAAACAGGATGTCCAGTGGGCTCAGATGCTCCTAGTGCTCTCTGCATCTGACAGTTCAGACAAAGCCATTCTTTTACCTGAAATAAGTGCAATACATGTATAAATTAATGTTGAGAAACAAGCAACAACAACATTTTTGACAATCTAAGTATTTTAAGGGACACATTTAAATAAAATTCATCACTTGACAAACATGTTCAGAGGACTTTTAACCACTTCAAGCCTCTTTGTGTCAAATGTATTTATTTACAGATCTTTAATTTCTATCAATTATAATCATACCTATTTTAAAAGATAACGTCTTTCTTGATGTATAAGTATTGTTGGTATGGCTTTTTTACACTACTGATATGATTGATTAATTAACCTGAAGTTAGCAAACCAATGTATTTCATTAAGTTATTTTTCAATGGCGAAGGCCTGAGTGGTATCAATTTAAAACTCCTATTGCAGTACAAATTCAAATAAAAAAATCAACCGCTCAAAAATGTAAGTTAACTTTTTAAATCGTATCACTTTGACCCTACCCGGCCCTTAAACAATATTGAACACATTTAAGAAATACTATTTTAAGTAAATGAATACAACTGGGTCGATTAAAGCATGTGACTTGTGATTTACCTCTGTCACAGTGGAAATTGTATTAAATCCACATTGGTTGCAGGCGATGGTCTTGCATTCTGTGCAAGTATTGTAGTTGGGAGGATCTTTTGAGCCAATGTTAAGGTCGGCCTTACAGAGTGGACAGCCTGATGAATCCGCTTTTGGGGCACCTTGGATGTCGGTTGGTGCCTTGGGAGGCTCCGATGCATCTTTGTCTGCGTTGGTTTGTACGGTTGAAGGATCCTTTTTCTGTTGTTGTTTCTCTGCTTTCTTTTCAAGAGTTTGCGGGAGAGCCTCTGTGTTCTTTGCAGGTAACGTTTTAGGAGAGGCTGGTGGTGTTGTTCTAGGAGAGACATGGGCTGTAGTGGACATCTTACGTGGAGTCGGTGGTGTCATTTTGGGTTCATCCTGGACAGCTGAGGTTATCAAAGTTGATGCCGAGTTTAAGAAAGATGAACCAAAGCCAAACCTCTTTCCAGAAACGGACTCAGCAGACTTTGCTGCTGTTGGTTGTGTTTTAGGACCACCAAAACCAAAGAAGCCTCCTGATGCCTGTTTGGCAGGCTCAACCGGTGGTGGTACAGATTTGGCTGGAGAGGTACCAGCTTTTGGAGGATGTTGTTGGGGGGGCTTTCCTGCCACTTGATCTGGTGGAGGAGCAGACTTAGCAAAATAAGTCACAGTTTGTGGAAGCTGCTGCGGGGATGGCTTTACTGCCTCTAAGATGGGTGGTGGAGTAGTGGATATAGCAGTAGAAGTCACCGCTGCAGTCTGTTGTGGAGGTAGCTTTCCTTCACCTGGTACTGTTAAAGGTGGTTTAGATATAGAAGTAGGAGTATCAGATTTTGGAGGCTGTTGCTGGGGTGTACTGGGATGTCCTTTGGATGTCTCTTCTGAAGGCTTTTGTAAACCGGGTGAAACATCAGTTTTTGTGGTAGAGGACAGAGAAGTTTTGTCAGGCAATGAAGCAGCTGCAGATGAAACTTTCTTTGTTACAACACCAAGGTCTGGGGCTTCCGTGTCTTTGGTTGTGGAAACATCAACTCGCGCATCTGTAGGTGCAGCTCGTTCATGCTTGTCCTCCTCAGAAGTTGACATAGGGGTTGCTTTCTTCTGTGTGGTGACAGGGACGTCTTTACTTGGTGAAGGTTTGATCATGGGAAGGCCTGGAGGTTCAGAAGCTCCGAGTGCTCTCTGCATCTGGCAGTTCAGACAAAGCCATTCCTTTTCCTGAAAAAACAAACAAAGACCATGAGTACAACCTTTGCATGTGTGAAAAAACAACTCTCAAAATAGCACTTTGTTAATCTAGTCCAAATACATACTTTAGCTGAAAGTCACAACATAGATTGAAAAAGAAAACAGATTTCAATGTCCATAAAATGTAATTAAAATAACAAGGAAAGTCAATGTAAAACTAACACATTGAGAAGAATTAAAGCAAATTGAACAGTGTTTTTCTTGCTAAATTCCAACTAAAAACATGTCCAGTAAATCATTAGATAATGTCTAACAATTTAACAAACTTTCCGCTGACCAAAAATGGTAAATGACGGACTTATTATTATACATTAAGTTAAGTATTTAGTCATTTAATTACCTCTGTTGAATTTGACGTAGGACTAAATCCACATTTGTTACAGACAGGGGTTTTGCATTCAGAACAAGTGTTGTAGTTGGGAAGATCTTTGGAGCTGATATTAAGTCCAATCTTACAAAGCGGACAGGTAGGTTGGACCATTTTGGGAGCAGCCTGGGAGGCTTCTGGTTTTGCGGGGACTGGAGGACCTTTCTCTACGGTGGCCTTTTCAGATGGAGGAGCCTTGTCCTGCTGTTGTTCTAGTATCTTTTCTGGATTTGTTGACTGTGCTACTGGAGGAGCAGAGTCTTCGTTAAGGGCTTTCAGGGGCTGTGCTTCATCAGAGAAGATTGGTTGATCAGCTGGTTTCTGAACTATTTCAGCTGTCCCCTCTTTCTTTTCTAAAACTTCTTTAGGTAAAAGGGAACTTGGTGGAGTTATATCCTCTGACCTCTGGACAGACATTTCAATATTTGAGTTGACAGGAGGAACTTCAACAGGCTGTGGTTTGACATCTGCAGTCTCGATGATGGGAGGGGCAGTAGTGATTGAAATCTCCTTGGTAGATGGTGAAGCAGTTTTCTCATCTTTTCTTGGGGCTGTAACTGTATGTGTGATTTCTTTTGCAGGTGGTGCAGCAGTGGTTGTTGTTTCTGTAATGACCGTTTTAAATGAAGCTTTAGTTTCTTCTTCCTTTTGTGGTACACCTGGTGTTGGGCTGTCGGCCTTATTTTGATCTTGCACTTCTGCTTTTACACTGGAGATAGTGTCTTTCTTTGTATTGGCAGTGACGTCTTTTTGGGCAGCAACAGGTGAGGGAGCTTTGTTGGGTGATGCCTGGGGTTTCATCAGTGGAGGGTCGACTGACTCAGCTGCTGTAATGGCTCTTTGCATCTGACAAGTCAGACACAACCACTCAATCTAGAAGGAAAACCATAATTTTGAGTAAGTGTGTCTGTACATTTTTTTTGTTGAGAGTTCAATCATATATTTTAAATGTAAAATCAGACGTGTAGATATTATTACAATTATTATAATTACTAATATTATTATTATTATTACAAATCATTAATACACACATCTTGAGAACATATTACTTACTTCTGACACATTTGGCATAGGTTTAAATCCACACTGGTTACAGACGGTGTTCTTGCATTCAGTGCAGCTGTTGTAGTTAGGTGGATCCTTGGACCCCACGTTGAGTTGGACCTTACAGAGTGGACAGGTAGACTGGCCTGGTTTGACAGCTACTTGTGAAGCTGCTGCAACCTTTGGAGGCTCTGATGGAGCTTTGTCCACTTTGGCCTGTACTGATGGAGGTGTCTTGGTCTCTTGGGGTTGTTCTGGTTTTGTCTGTTGTTCTCTCCTCTGAGCTGCAGGGGATCTGATCTCTTTTGCTGCGGACATCTTGGGAGAAACTGGTGGAGTAGTCTTGGGCTGGTCCTGAACAGCTGAGGTAATCAAAGTAGATGCAGAACTGAAGATGGAAGAACCAAAGCCAAACATTTTCCCAGTGCCTGACTCTGCTGGCTTTGCAGCATCGGGTTGAGATTTATCACCACCAAAACCAAAGAAGCCTCCTGACTCTCGCCGTGCTGCTGCTGCAGAAATACTCTGCTTACGTTCATTCTGCCTTGTCTGGGCGGGTGATTTATTCAGACCTGGAGTTTTCTGAGGCTCCTGCATCCTCTTTGGAGAAGGAACTGGGCTGTGCTGTTTCTGATCCTCTTGCTTGTTAGCAGCTTCAGTTCTAGTTGGCTGTGGTGTTACGGAGGGTTTTCTCTGAGTTACATCCTTTTTCTCAGGTTCAGCTGAGCTGATCAAGTCTTTCTTTTGTTGTGCAGGTATCTGAGATTTGACAGAAGAAACTCCTTTGGGCTGTGTTGCTCCTACAGCCCGCTGCGTCTGGCAGGTAAGACACAGCCACTCCTTCAGCTGAAAAAAAGAAAAAGAAAAGAAAGGTTCTAATATAAAGTGTTACATTATCAGTATATAAATACATTTTATAATAATGTTATACATTGAATTTGTTTTATACATTTGAGCAGTTGTCACATATATAATAGAAAAGAGTTAATTGTGGATCCAATATGTATTGTTCCCAGAATGAAGGAAGGCATGCATAATTGTAAACAAGGAATAGCATGCAAGGAACACTTTCAATAAAACAAATGCGGGATAATTCTTTACAGTCTTTAAGCAAGCTAATATAAAGGTTGTCTTACCGCTGTTTCATTTGGCAAAGGGTTAAATCCACACTGGTTACAGACGGTGTTCTTGCATTCAGTGCAGCTGTTGTAGTTAGGTGGATCCTTGGACCCCACGTTGAGTTGGACCTTACAGAGTGGACAGGTAGACTGGCCTGGTTTGACAGCTACTTGTGAAGCTGCTGCAGCCTTTGGAGGCTCTGATGGAGCTTTGTCCACTTTGGCCTGTACTGATGGAGGTGTCTTGGTCTCTTGGGGTTGTTCTGGTTTTGTCTGTTGTTCTCTCCTCTGAGCTGCAGGGGATCTGATCTCTTTTGCTGCGGACATCTTGGGAGACACTGGTGGAGTAGTCTTAGGGCTGGTCCTGAACAGCTGAGGTAATCAACGTAGATGCAGAATTGAAGATGGAAGAACCAAAGCCAAACATTTTCCCAGTGCCTGACTCTGCTGGCTTTGTAGCCTCAGGTTGAGCTTTACCACCAAAACCAAAGAAGCCTCCTGACTCTTGCTGTGTTGCTGCTGTAGAAATACTCTGCTTACGTTCACTTTGCCTTGTCTGCTGTGGTGATTTATTAGGACCTGGAGTTTTCTGAGGCTCCTGCATCCTCTTTGGAGATGGAACTGGGCTCGGCTGTTTCTGATCCTCTGGCTTGTTAGCAGTTTCCGCAGTAGTTGGCTGTGCTGTTTCAGAAGGTTTTTTAAGTACTGAATCTTTCCTTTCAGGTTCAGTTGGGCTGAGGATGTCTTTCTCTTGTGGTTTTGCAGTTATCTGAGATTTCACAGAAGCAACTCCTGGGGGCTGTATTGCTCCTACAGCCCGCTGCGTCTGACAGGTGAGACACAGCCACTCCTTCACCTTAAAAGGAACAGAAGTACTGTTTAGTTAAAAAACTGTTCGATTAAATGTGTATAATTATTTGTAATACATCCATCTTAAGCAATGATAACTTTCTGTTATATTTCGGCAACTGTTGTAAATCTATTAACCAAGAGTCAGTGTACATTTTAACGTTTAATATTCCCCAAAAATAATAAGTGAATGCATGCAGAGTTGGAACACAATGGAAAGCCAGCAAGGAAAACTTTCAAAAAAGCATATTGTGTTATTAAAATCAGTCTGTCAGAAGTTAGTTATAAAATAAAATATGTATTAAAAATGTATTATTTTCTGTCGTCTTACCCCTGTTTCATTTGGCATAGGGTTAAATCCACACTGGTTACAGACGGTGTTCTTGCATTCAGTGCAGCTGTTGTAGTTAGGTGGATCCTTGGACCCCACGTTGAGTTGGACCTTACAGAGTGGACAGGTAGACTGGCCTGGTTTGACAGCTACTTGCGAAGCTGCTGCAGCCTTTGGAGGCTCTGATGGAGCTTTGTCCACTTTGGCCTGTACTGATGGAGGTGTCTTGGTCTCTTGGGGTTGTTCTGGTTTTGTCTGTTGTTCTCTCCTCTGAGCTGCAGGGGATCTGATCTCTTTTGCTGCGGACATCTTTGGAGAAACTGGTGGAGTAGTCTTGGGCTGGTCCTGAACAGCTGAGGTAATCAAAGTAGATGCAGAACTGAAGATGGAAGAACCAAAGCCAAACATTTTCCCAGTGCCTGACTCTGCTGGCTTTGCAGCATCGGGTTGAGACTTTACCACCAAAACCAAAGAAGCCTCCTGACTCTTGCTGTGTTGCTGCTGTAGAAATACTCTGCTTACGTTCACCTTGCCTTGTCTGCTGTGGTGATTTATTAGGACTTGGAGTTTTCTGAGGCTCCTGCGTCCTCTTTGGAGATGGAACTGGGCTTGGCTGTTTGTGATCCTTTGGCTTGTTAGCAGTTTCTGTAGTAGCTGGCTGTGCTGTTTCAGAAGGTTTTTTCTGGGTTGAGTCCTTTTTACGTTCAGCTGGGCTGATGATGTCTTTCTTTTGGGGTATTGCAGGTATCTGAGAGTTGACTGGATTAGCTCCTTGGGGCTGTGTTGCTCCTACAGCCCGCTGCGTTTGGCAGGTGAGACACAGCCACTCCTTTACCTATAAAAGAACAGAAAAAATGGTTCAATTAAAAAACGTTTGGTTAAATGTGTGTAATTATTTGTAATACATCCATCTTAACCAATGATAACTTTCTGTTATATTTGAGCAACTGTTGTACATTTAGTAACAAAGAGTCAGAGACAGGGTAGATTTGAATGTTTAACATTCCCCCCAACAAATGAGTGAATGCATGCATAATGTGAACAAAATTGAAAGCAAGCAAAATAAAACTTTCAAAAAAGCATATGGTGTTAATAAAATCAGAATGTCAGCAGTTACTTTGAACATAAAGTATGTACATTTTTATTATTATTTTGTGTAGTCTTACCGCTGTTTCATTTGGCAAAGGGTTAAATCCACACTGGTTACAGACGGTGTTCTTGCATTCAGTGCAGCTGTTGTAGTTAGGTGGATCCTTGGACCCCACGTTGAGTTGGACCTTACAGAGTGGACAGGTAGACTGGCCTGGTTTGACAGCTACTTGCGAAGCTGCTGCAGCCTTTGGAGGCTCTGATGGAGCTTTGTCCACTTTGGCCTGTACTGATGGAGGTGTCTTGGCCTCTTGGGGTTGTTCTGGTTTTGTCTGTTGTTCTCTCCTCTGAGCTGCAGGGGATCTGATCTCTTTTGCTGCGGACATCTTGGGAGAAACTGGTGGAGTAGTCTTGGGCTGGTCCTGAACAGCTGAGGTAATCAACGTAGATGCAGAACTGAAGATGGAAGAACCAAAGCCAAACATTTTCCCAGTGCCTGACTCTGCTGGCTTTGCAGCCTCAGGTTGAGTTTTATCACCACCAAAACCAAAGAAGCCTCCTGACTCTTGCTGTGTTGCTGCTGTAGCATTACTTTGTTTACGTTCAGTTTGCCTTGTCTGGTCAGGTGATTTATTAGGAGCTGGAGTTTTCTGAGGCTCCTGTGGATGCTTTTGAGGTGGAACTGGGCTGGGCTGTTTCTTCTCCTCTGGCTTGCTAGCTGCTTCTACTGTAGCTGGCTGTGGTGTCGCTGGAAGTGTCTTCTGAGTTGAGTCCTTCCTTTCAGGTTCAGCTGGGCTGAGGATGTCTTTCTCTTGTGGTTTTGCAGTTATCTGAGATTTCACAGAAGCAACTCCTGGGGGCTGTATTGCTCCTACAGCCCGCTGCGTCTGACAGGTGAGACATAGCCACTCCTTTGCCTAAAGAATAACAGAAAAAATAAGTTCCATTATAAACTATCAGGTATTCTATGTATTTTGTTTAATCCTTGAAAACAGTGAATATTCTCTGTTACATTTGAGCAGCTGGCATAAATCGAGTAACAAAGGGCCAATAGGGATTTCAATGTTTAATATTGCTAGAAAATAATAAGTGAATGCATGAATCATTTGTACAATGACTACAGTATGCAGAGAGGGAAACTTTCCAAAAAAGCACAGATGATGTAACTCTTAACTGACTGTCAGCAGTCCATAGTAAGATTAAATATGTATTACAAAATGTATCTATTTTCTCTAGTCTTACCCCTGTTTCATTTGGCAACGTGTTAAATCCACACTGGTTACAGACGGTGTTCTTGCATTCAGTGCAGCTGTTGTAGTTAGGTGGATCCTTGGACCCCACGTTGAGTTGGACCTTACAGAGTGGACAGGTAGACTGGCCTGGTTTGACAGCTACTTGCGAAGCTGCTGCAGCCTTTGGAGGTTCATATGGAGCTTTGTCCACTTTGGCCTGTACTGATGGAGGTGTCTTGGTCTCTTGGGGTTGTTCTGGTTTTGTCTGTTGTTCTCTCCTCTGAGCTGCAGGGGATCTGATCTCTTTTGCTGCAGATATCTTGGGAGAAACTGGTGGAGTAGTCTTGGGCTGGTCCTGAACAGCTGAGGTAATCAAAGTAGATGCAGAACTGAAGATGGAAGAACCAAAGCCAAACATTTTCCCAGTGCCTGACTCTGCTGGCTTTGCAGCATCGGGTTGAGATTTATCACCACCAAAACCAAAGAAGCCTCCTGACTCTCGCCGTGCTGCTGCTGCAGAAATACTCTGCTTACGTTCACTCTGCCTTGTCTGGGCGGGTGATTTATTCAGACCTGGAGTTGTCTGAGGCTCCTGCATCCTCTTTGGAGAAGGAACTGGGCTGTGCTGTTTCTGATCCTCTTGCTTGTTAGCAGCTTCAGTTCTAGTTGGCTGTGGTGTTACGGAGGGTTTTCTCTGAGTTACATCCTTTTTCTCAGGTTCAGCTGAGCTGATCAAGTCTTTCTTTTGTTGTGCAGGTATCTGAGATTTGACAGAAGAAACTCCTTTGGGCTGTGTTGCTCCTACAGCCCGCTGCGTCTGGCAGGTAAGACACAGCCACTCCTTCAGCTGAAAAAAAGAAAAAGAAAAGAAAGGTTCTAATATAAAGTGTTACATTATCAGTATATAAATACATTTTACAATAATGTTATACATTGAATTTGTTTTATACATTTGAGCAATTGTCACATATCTAATAGAAAATAGTTAATTGTGGATCCAATATGTATTGTTCCCAGAATGAAGGAAGGCATGCATAATTGTAAACAAGGAATAGCCTGCAAGGAACACTTTCAATAAAACAAATGCGGGATAATTCTTTACAGTCTTTAAGCAAGCTAACATAAAGGTTGTCTTACCGCTGTTTCATTTGGCAAAGGGTTAAATCCACACTGGTTACAGACGGTGTTCTTGCATTCAGTGCAGCTGTTGTAGTTAGGTGGATCCTTGGACCCCACGTTGAGTTGGACTTTACAGAGTGGACAGGTAGACTGGCCTGGTTTGACAGCTACTTGCGATGCTGCTGCAGCCTTTGGAGGCTCTGATGGAGCTTTGTCCACTTTGGCCTGTACTGATGGAGGTGTCTTGGTCTCTTGGGGTTGTTCTGGTTTTGTCTGTTGTTCTCTCCTCTGAGCTGCAGGGGATCTGATCTCTTTTGCTGCGGACATCTTGGGAGACACTGGTGGAGTAGTCTTGGGCTGGTCCTGAACAGCTGAGGTAATCAAAGTAGATGCAGAACTGAAGATGGAAGAACCAAAGCCAAACATTTTCCCAGTGCCTGACTCTGCTGGCTTTGCAGCATCGGGTTGAGCTTTACCACCAAAACCAAAGAAGCCTCCTGACTCTTGCTGTGTTGCTGCTGTAGCATTACTTTGTTTACGTTCGGTTTGATTATTTATCCCAGGCTTTGCAGCATCAAGTTGTTTATCACAAGGTTGGCTTGCCTGATCTGGTGGCTTGTTTGGTCTTGTCTTTTGTCTTTCCTCTGGTGTTTTATGATGAGGTTCTTGGCTCGCTTGTTTCAATGGAGCAGTACCAGCTTCAGGTTTGCCTGGCTTAACTGATGGAGTAGACTGTTTTCTCTGTGGTGAGACTGCAGCAGGTGAAGGAACTTTAGGAACTGCTTGGGACTTCATTGCTGGAGGGGGGCTCAGATGCTTCAACTGCTCTTTTCATCTGACAGTTAAGACATAGCCACTCGTTTTCCTAAAATACAAGAGATAACAGTTATTTGTTGGTTTGGAATTGGAAATTGCAATAATTCACAAAAATGTAAGTACTTAGGAAAACACACTCCTAAAAACTGCACTACAGGTCATTTGAACATATTCACAGATTAAAGGTGGGGTAGGTAAGTTTCAGAAACCGGCTCGAGTGCACTAAAATTTTAAAGTACACAGCCGAAAAGAATCCGCCCCTTCCTTCAGACTTCCTTACAGAGCACCTCCTCCAACACACGTGAACACGCAATGCACGCCCAATACATTTGTGCGTGCACGAGATGGAAGGCTGACAGACAGGGTGGCAATCCAATCCGTTTAACCAAGCCGGCTAAACGGATTGGTCGTGCTTTTTACAGTATTACGGCTTCCACAGATGACATTTTTTTATGGATTTTTTGTCAAAGCACTTAAGATATTCATTGCTATCGGGATGTTAAGAGCATTCCATGGAATATAACAAAAAGTGTATCTCGAGCCGGTTTCTGAAACTTACCTACCCCACCTTTAATACACAATCATGCATACATGCATATAGTACATTTGGAAATAAATGTTCTGTTTGTATTCCATTACTTACCTTTCCTATAGGTATTGGGTTGAATCCACATTGGCTACAGACAGTAGTTTTGCACCCAGTGCAGGTGTTGTAGTTTGGAGGGTCCTTGGAACTCATGTTAAGCTCAACCTTACACAGTGGACAGGTGGCTTTACTTCCTTTAGAAGATGTTTGGGAGATTGCTGATGCCCTTGGTAGCTGTAATGGAGCTTTGTCCTCTTTGCTATGGTGGGATTCTTCTGGTTTCCTCCCCTGCTCTGGTTTCTGACTAAGAGTTTTGGGCTCTCTTGCTGGTGACATTTTGGGGGAAGCTGTAGGTGTACATCTTGGAGAAATCTTGGGACCAGCAGACATCTTACGAGAACCTGGAGGTGTAGTACTTGATACTTCCTGAACAGCAGATGATACCAAAGTGGATGCTGAGCTGAAAATGGAGGAACCAAATCCAAACATTTTCCCAGTCACAGACTCTGTTGTTTTTGAAGCATCAGGCCCTGTTTTAGGACCACTCAAGCCAATTGGGTTCCTAACTCCCCCTTTGTATCTGGGGTGATCTTACTCGGGTTTAGTCCAGGTTCACTTATCTTGTCAGTTGGTTTCTGAGAATCCCCTGCGATACCGAGAGGAGCTTTCTGAACAGGAGTTGGGCTAGCCTTTGAGTCAAGGTCTGGTCCTTTCGCAGCCTTTGTTTCCTTTGTTACTGCTGCAGCCTGTGCCTTCAGCAGAGAACCTGGTTTGGGACTCCCTTTCTCTTGAAGTGTATCGAGCCCCTGATTCTGGATCTTTGAAGGTGCATCAGATTTATTTCGAGTTTCCACTTGATTAGAAGCTTTTATCTTCTGATGTCCAGCAGATGGAGAAATGCTGTCAGCTGATTTCATTGGAGGTCCTGTGCGTTCGGATGCACTAAGAGCCCTCTGCATCTGACAGTTCAGGCATAACCAATGTTTTACCTGCAAACAGAAAAATCAATGAAACATTTACTAAACCTTCATGCAATCACTACAATGTCAAACTGATGTACCTTATATGTTTTATGATGATCAACTATGGTCTATATTTCATTATTTTGCTTTTTTCTTTAGTTTTAAAGTTAATTGGCTAAATGTATTGTATTACCTCTGAATTATTTGGCATAGGATTAAATCCACATTGGTTGCAGACAGTATTCTTGCATTCGGTGCAGTTGTTGTAGTTTGGAGGTTCCTTGGAGCCAAAGTTGAGTTCCACCTTACAGAGTGGGCAGGTAGATTGGCCTGCCTTGTGAGCTGCTGCATCTTTTGGAACCTCTGATGGAACTTTTCCTACTTTGGCTTGGGGTGATGGAGAAGTTCCGGGCTGCACTTTCCTTACCTCTTGCCCTTGTTTGTGAGCAAGAGGTGATTTTGGTGCTTCTGCGCGAGGCATTTTAGGAGAAACTAGAGGTGTCGTTTTAGAATCAGATGCAGAACTAAAGATGGACGTACCAAATCCAAACATTTTTCCACCAAGGGACTCAGCAGGCTTTGCACTATCAGGTTGAGCTTTAGGACTGCCAAATCCAAATAACTTTCCAGATTCCTCTTGTGAAGTTGTAGTAGTAGTTTTCTGACCAGGAGATGGGCTGACCTGTTTCGGACTTTCTGGAAGTTTCACGACTTTAGCCGTTGCAGGCTGCTCAGCTGGTATTGGTGGTTTCCTCTGAGGGGAGCCTGGTGCTGAGGTGTTCTTTATTTTAGATTCAGTGGGTGTTTGAGTGTCTATCTTTTGAGGTTTAACCAGTTGGGGAGTTGCCTTATTTATGGCTGATGCAGGGACTTTATTTGGTGAAGCCTGTAGTTTCATCATGGGAGTTCCTGGTGGCTCAGCTGCTCCTAGTGCTCTCTGCATCTGGCAGTTGAGACATAACCACTCCTGCACCTAGTAGAGCAAACAGTAAATGGGTACAATTAAAATCCTGTCGTTGTACAATAGGAAGGAGTTTACCAATAATAATTACAAATACGAATACCATTATTAAATACAAATGTGACAATCATTGTTCAATTGCTTTTTCTGTAATCAACAGTAAACTTGTCTTACCTCTTTAACATTTGGCATCGGATTAAATCCACATTGGTTACAGACAGTATTTTTGCAATCTGTACAGGTGTTGTAGTTGGGAGGATCTTGTGAGCCCACATTTAGTTCCAGTTTACAGAGAGGACAGGTAGAGTGTCCTGCTTTAGAAACAACTAGGGTAGCTGATAGAAGTTTGTCCGCTTTCGTCTGTACTGATTGCGAAGCCTTGGTCAGTTGGGGTTGTCCTGGTTTTGTCTCCTGTCCTGTTTTCGTCGCAGTGGGTGATTTGGAATCCTTTGTGGTAGGCAATTTGGGAGAAAGTGGGGGTGTCGTTTTTGGATCATCTTGAACAGCTGAGGTTATCAATGTGGATGCAGAATTGAAAATGGAGGAACCAAAACCCATCATCTTTCCAGTCACTGCAGGTTTTGCAGCATCAGGCTGACTTTTAGGACTACCAAATCCGAAAAACCCTCCTGACTCTTGCTGTGTAGATGCAGTGGCATTTCCCCTTCTTTTGTGACATTTGGCTTGTCTGGTCTGGTTGTTTCTGAGGACCTGCCTTTCGGCTGTCTTGAGGTGTTTTCTGACCAGGAGCTGTGCTGGCTGGTCTTTTAGCAGCTTCAGTCTTGTCTGGTGCAGCAGTCTTTTGTAGTGAAGGTTGCCCTGGGCCTTCCTGGGCTCGTTTCACCTGGCAGTTTAGACAAAGCCACTCCTTTCCCTTCAAAAACAAACAAAAACAAACACACATTCATAACATATACACATGCATGTTTTAATGATAACAAACCAAAGCTGTAAATTAAAAATAGAAGTGCAGAGACTGGTTGAATTATCCTATTCTTAACAGAAAATTACACACACACACGGAATTATTCATGGTACAGTATACAGTGAGCAAACTCTGTGGATGGCTACGGCAATTAAGATCAACATCTTGATTTACTGTATGATGTAAGAATCACCCAACAAAGTTAATTCATTTGTTGTGCTTTTGGTAAAATCCACTATTTGTTGCAGCATTTCAGAAAAGTGAGTATATAATGTTTGTATTTAAGTTAGTGTGTGTTTGATTAAGTAAACTAATTATATCACCACAAAAGTGCAAATGTAAGCTTTTAAAAAAGTAAGCCAGGTGACAGTAATCACAAAGTTTCAGTGGTGTGTAGACTATACATGTTAAAACATCCACTTCAAAGCAGGCTTGCAAAATCCACATAAGGATCTCTCCACCCTGATCTTGGTTCATCACCATTGAAGTCATTGGTTGAAGCAGTATTAAATGATCAAGTAGCCTCTGACTGTCCTTGGGAAGGTAGCCTACTAACTGTGCATTGTATTACAGAGTCAAGTGTCATGTCCTTTGTGCTTTAATATGCAATGTCTAATTACCTTGGACATTGTGTGTGTGTGTGTGTGTGTGTGTGTGTGGTGTGTGTGTGTGTTGTGTGTGTGTTTGTGTATGTGTATGTGTGTGTGTGGTGTGTGTGTGTGTGTGTGTGTGTGTGTGTGTGTGTGTGTGTGTGGTGTGTGTGTGTGTGTGTGTGTGTTCCCCTATTGTGTGCCAGTCCAGACAGTGCAGGGAGAGAAAGCTGGATGTAGGATTTCAAAAGATTTGTTGTGTGTTGTCATTGTATTGAACACCAAAGATGCGTGTTTCTGCTAGGGGTTGTGTGTAACTGAATCAGCTTAACCGGTTCTGTAAGACCAATCTGATCGCTCAGACAACAACAACAAATTGCCTCAACAACTATTAGGATGACATAGTGACGTATGTAGCATTTTTTAGATTAACTTTGAAAATATGTATTTGTTGTAAGTCATTAGTTTCATTCGGTAATGAATTGAATAAATATCACACATATCTTACCTCATTGACATTTGGCAAGGGGTTAAATCCACATTGGTTGCAGAGACGGTGCTTTTGCAATCAGTGCAGGTATTATAGTTGGAGGATCCTTCGAGCCCATATTGAGCATCACCTTACAGATTGGACAAGTGCATTGACCTCCTTTAGGAGCATTGTGGGAGGCTGCTGTTGCCTTTGGAGTCTCTGATTGAGCTTTTCCACTTTGACCTGTCCCTGCTGGACTGGCTTTGGCTTGCAGGGGTTGCTCTTGTTTATTGTCTTGCACTGACTTTTGGACAGCTGCTGGTTTGGTCTCCTTTGTAGACTGCATTTTGGGCGAAACTGGTGGTGTAGTTTTTGACTCATCCTGTACAGCTGAGGCTATTAAGTAGATGCAGAACTAAAATGGAGGAACCAAAACCAAACATCTTCCCACTCACTGACTCTTCTGGCTTTGCAGCTTCAGTTTTAGCACCACCAAAGCCAAATAAACCTCCTGACTCCTGCTTGGCACTGCTTTGCTTGCGCCCAGTTTGACTTATCTGGTCTGGTTGTTGAGGCCCTGATGTTCTCTGGGTCTCAGGTGTCATTTTGTGAACAGAAGCAGGACTGGCCTGCTTTTGAATGTCTGATCCTTTAGCAGCTTCACCCTTGGCTTGCACTTTTGCCGAAGTAGACTGCATTTTCTGAGGTGAAGCTGCTCCTGACATCTCTTTTTTGACAGGTGCAGCAGGCGATGGTGTCTGGTTTTGAGCAGCAGACACTTTGTTGGGAATGGGCTTTTCATGGAAGGTCCCGGTGGTTCAGAAAATCCTTGGGCTCTCTTTACCTGGCAGGTTAGACAAAGCCACTCACGCCCCTATACACAAAAAAAAGAAGAAGAAGATAGATACATTGTTACAACAATTACATATTAATGCACACAAAGTACAAGATTCAAATGCACAGCTCAAACTAATATTTAAGTGGGATCACACATATATGTCATAATTTGAAACATTACATAACATAACAATAAACATTTTAACTTGTTTAAATCTTATCCTATTTGAAGACAACTCAGAAAGGTGATGTTTTTTTTAACAATAAGTGCTATGGTAAAGATATGGTCCAGTGTTTAATTGTATTGAAACTTTTCTTTTAGCAAATAAGATTGCTCTACATCCACACTTATTGTGTTTGATATCAGTGAATTGACACAACAGCAACTGCAGTGCATAGCAGAGTCATTTTCAATTGTCAATAAAAACAAATATTATTAATATCAAACATGTTAACTGTAATATAGTATAACATACTGTTTACTTTACAATAAGCGCAATATATGGGCATTTAGTTTGAAAAAAGCATAAAAAGACGGATAAGAAATTACAAACAAACGGATTAACTTCTTACTTCTGAGCCAATACTTACATCTGAGTCAGGAGGGCTGAAGCCGCAGAAGCTGCACACTTCAGTTTTACACTGTGTACATGTTTTATGGTTGGGTGGTTCCTTGGTGTGCATGTTAAGTTCTGTTGTCTTACACACTGGGCAAAGGGTATTAGCTACTGCCTTTGACTGAGATCCAGCTTTGGTTGGTCCCGGTGATGAAGACCCTGCTTGGGACAGGCCAGGTCCCTTAGGGCCTTGTGGCTGAGACCCCGGCTTATTTGAGGACTGCTGGGGTGTAGTCCTGAAACTTTGCTGCTGTTGCCCCACCTTAGGTGAGCCCTGTTGTTGTGTTGTTGTTGTTGCTGTTGTTGTTGTTGTCCAATTATTGGTGACCCCTGTGGGTTGCTGTCCCTACTTTAGGTGACCCTTGCTGTGACCCAGCCTTTGTGGACTCTTGCAACCCAGTCTTTGCTGGCTGTTGTTGCTGTGCACCTGTCTTAGAAGGCCCTTGTTTTTGCATCCCTGTTTTAGGTGGAACCTGCTGTTGTGAAGATGCCTTTGGAGATCCTGGTTGAACTCCACTCTTATTCACAATCTGCGGTTGACCTCCAGGCTTAGGTGAACCTTGCTGTAGTGGCCCCTTTGGAAGATCTTTTTGTGACTGCCCTTTTAGATGACCTTCAGGCTGTGTTCCTGCCTTTTGAGTAACTTGTTGCCCCCCATGCTTGTTTTGGGGTGCAGTCTGTCCATTCCCGTGCAACTGTGGTGAGCCTTGTTTAGAGAGAGGCTGGCCCGTTTGTATAGGAGGGCCCTGGCCTGATTTTTGGGGTCCATGCTGCTGTTGAGGGCCTTTGCCAGGGCCTGCTCCTGGCTGCTGTTCTCCAGGTGGCTTCACTCCCTGCTGGGAAGGTCCTTTCTTATTCTTATCCCCCTCCCCATCATCTCCAAATAAACCAAACTTATTCACAGCAGAGGACACAGCATTGAGGGGGTTGGCCCCACTAAGGAATTTGGAGGAGAACATAGCCGGGTTCTCCTCCTCCTCCTCCTCGTCCTCCTCAGAGGAACTTGAGTCTACAGGACTGTCGGAGTCCGAACAGGAGCTGTCGCCTCTGTGTCCTGGCTCTCCCGCAGAGGCCTTAGGGGGGGCTGGCTCTGGAGCTGTGGAGAGGGCATCTACAGCTCCGCTGCTGCTGCCAATGCTGCTGCTGCTGCTGCTGCTCCCTGGGCTCTCCTCTGGCGCAGCATCTACATCAGACTTCCTAAATGCATGAGAAACAGACAAAGAGTTAATGTGAGGTCACAAGAGACAAGAGAAGCATGATCATTTGTGAACCACATTTGCAGTACTGTCTGAGCCAATATGCTGTCTGGTAAACAAAATAAAAACCTGCTGCACCAGCGTACTAAGTATAATGGATGCAGGGGAAACATATTATCACTCCTTCAATGAATTGCTTTCTAAGGTTTTCCAATACTGTAGCCTACTATACATAATTCACATCTCTAAAAACTCCAAGCACATAATATTATGGGTTTATCTATATCCTATACCTTCATATTTCACAGTAGAGGAATTTACATGTGGACACACTGTAAATGTGAATAATTTGAATCTATGACACAACACAGAGCTTGATAAATAAAATCCCGGTTGACACGATTATCATTTGCATAGCAATTGTCGCCTCTATACGGAGAAAGCCATTAATGATTCAGCCTCACTTTGATTTACTCTGCCTCGACTGTTGCTTTCAGGACCATGGATAGAGTCAGAGCCGCTCTGTTGATCACAGCATACACAAGCCTCAGAGATCCCTTTCAGCCATACGGCACAGAGCAATGTGCAACACAGGAGGCGGATATCGCTTTCAATAGAGCCGGCTACTACAAACCCAAATCAAGTGACCATTCAAGGTGTACTCACAGGTTACAATATTTCTTCCACCGTAGAATAATTTGTATTTATGACAGGGTATTCCATGTCATTCATCACTCAAATACGACCCAGTGTCGGGGAGAGAAAAATGTCATGCAGTAGGATGTTTTACAGCAGCATGACGAGTAAACATAGCGCTCTCTTTACAGAAACTGCAGGCACATCCGGGTAGGGGCTCATCACATAATCCATGGGAAGTGAAAACGAATACTTTCCTTTACAAAAGCAACATCAAGGGCAGTATAAGCCTGCCATGAGCAGTCATTTTTACATAACAGCTGGATTTAACGTGAAGTCTACTACGCTCAGGCAGCAGCGGTTCATCCAGAGGCGGTTAAGAGGATCTGATGTAGAATGTAGCCTAATCGAAATAATAAAAAAAGCACCGTGCATTTCCTTCGACTACTGAACCCGATAACATTTTAGACCGCAGATGGTACGAGGTGATGACAGCTCCGTGCAAACGGGTGACCGGAGAGAAAAAGGAAGAGAAAAACACATTATCACCTATTTGTGTGCCCTTGACCGGGAGTCTGTTGAAGAAGTCTAAATGTATTATAATCTGGAGATATTTAAAACCGGCTGAAATAAGTGAGGTAAACCAGCGGAAGCCATGTCATCGGAAACATCTCCTGAATTACCATCTGTTCTTCGCTCTGTGCTCCCCTCACTCATCTCCTCCCATCCTGCAGCCAAGCATCCTTCAACCTCCACGGTCACAATGTCAAACAGTGAAGCGCGGTATTCCCGTGAAAGCGAAGGAAACTGTACCTTCATCGACAGCAGATCTGTCTCCCTATCCTCGCCAAAAGCTCCTCGGATATCCCCTGTCCGTGTCTGTGATCGCCGAGGGATGGAGGGCACAGGGCAGCCGATAGAGAGCGATCAGCATCCACTCCGCCCCCCAATCCAGTGCGCATGCGCCACATCTGACAGGTGATCACAATATATATCACGTACGGAAATTGAAATTAAAGGGGACAAGGCGATTTATTACCCCGGAGTCACGAGTGATCAGCGTCGATGTCTTTAAGATTTACCCTCCTGCGTGATATGTTGCACATTTTCCCAGAGACCGTTGACATTTAAAATGTCGTGTCATGAGCAGTATAGAGGGGTAATGTGAATTTAGCCCCAAGAGCGCTGAGTCGTGACAGCTATGTTATATTCAGTTCACAGTAAATTCCACTTTACATAACTGTATTTACAATTCATATATTCGTTGCAAAACACAACACATTTGTATTATTTTTGCAAAAAGTACCCTGGGAATACTAATGTATAGGCTACTAGTAAAATAAGGTAACACTTTATTTTGATAGTCCATATGTAACACTCTATAAGTCATCAGTTGACATTTAGTAGCATGTCAACAGCGTATTAACCAATATTCAACCTTACCCTTACCTTATCTGTATATTGTGTCAACATCTTCAAAATTGACAATCAACTACTCAAAATCAATCTGTCAGTTGAAAGTCAACAGGGCCATGTTGACTATCTGTTGATAATCTGTTGAGAGTCAATATGTCAACTAAAGATTACATTAAGCATTAGTTGGTGATCAACAGATAAGCAACTTTAGAGTTTAGTTGACTATCTGTTGATCGTCAACTAATCTAGAGTTGACTATCAGTATACTTTTAGTAGGCATTCTCCTGTGTTAGGACTATCCAATTAAAGTGAAACACAGTTGAGAACAGTAGAAAGTCTATAACCTATCAACAGAACACATACATGCATCCACTAATTATATGCAACAGACATGGGAATAAAGCGAAATGTTTTGCACAACTGATCACAAACTTTATTTATTCATTATGTATGTAATGTTTGAGTTAGAAACACCTGTTCCTGTTTTATTTGACTAATATATAAGATAAACACAGAAGCCTAATGCATTCACTTGAGAACAAAAGGTTTTTCACAAGAACTCACAATCTACAGATAGTAAGGTTGAATATCGGTTAATAACCTGTTGCAAAAAACATGTTGACAGTCAACAGACACTTTTTGTAAAATCTATAGATCAACACTTGAGATGGACATTATATTCTACTGGCAGTTAGTTAAATGCATGTTATTTGTCTGTTGAAACAGTGTTGTTGAATGTCAACTGATGACTTGTAGAGTGTTAACTATGGACTATCAAAATAAAGTGTTACCTAAAATAAAGTATATTTTATCGGCAAAAGGACATCAGACAGCTCTATCTTGTTTATTATTCTATTCCAAATATACAGAGATCAATGTATACATGTGTGAGGAGTAACATGCCAGTTGATGTCTGAAAATGAGCTGTCCATGTGTTACCTTGTCTTAATAAAAACATCTATGACTGATATGGTCCAACAAATATGGTCTTCCAAACACTGATAGATTCCATCAGTATATCTCCATCTTACATATCATAAACATCATCCATCTGTCAAACCTGTCCAAATACCAGCACACAGAGTAACGCCTCCAATATGAACTGCAATCAGTCCATCTTAGAAATATCAATAATCAATTGCTTTTTCATTTTCTTTCTTGGTCAGTTTATTAAACTGACCAATTGCTCCATCAATTTAGACTTTCCTCCAGATCAGATTTGTGCAATATGCTGATACACATTTCTTCAGTATGCAGCTATTCCAGCACTGTACATACACCGTCTAGACATTTTCTCTTGGGCCTGAATCAAAGCTTGTTGCTGTTTTGGTAGAATACTTAATGAAGATGACGTAATAGGAAGTGAACTCTGGGCACATAGTTCCTCTTCAGTCTGTGTAACCTCTTTTTTTACTGCACAGGCTTTCTTATTCTGGAATTCCTCCCACCAGAGTTTTTCTACAAAGCAGATCTGATTTAAAGAGACAATCTTGGCAATCTTATCCTGTGCCGCTGTCAGAGTGAGAAAAAAAAGAGGAAACGTTCTTCTTTTCTCTCTCCAGCTTTAGGCCATAGACATGCCGATGACTTCTGTCCAACCATGATCTGACAAAATCCTTATAAGATTCGGTTAAACAACACAATATGAATAGCCAATATATACCCAGGGCAACACAATAAAGCCTTTACTCTCTACATTTCCTCTGAATTGGTTCACATATTACAATCTGGAAGCTTACAAAAACGGATTTAACAGCAATACGACAATGTACCACAACTACTAAAAAGAAATCTCACCTCCATGGATCAACCGTTTGCCATGAGAAAGACAATGATTACTAACTTCTAGACTTATCTAGAATTTTTGAACGGATACATGCCCCCACCAAACAGTCACATGCATGTCTACACATGACAAACAGCGTGGATAAATTCCTACTCAGTATGCGGTAAGCGTGAGTGAGAAGTGTGGGAAGGATGGAGAGCAAGTGGTGTGTGGGCGTGTAGAAGAGAGACGTCATGCAGCATGTGTGAGAGGCATAATTGCTTTGGTCTCTCTTTGGGAAATGCCAGATTTGGCTTTATTGCAGATACACACCGGAAACATTCATCAGCACAATCTCCATCTGGGGATCTAGGCTGTAGCTTTTCAGTGGGCTTGTACATGCTCCGGAAATCCTTAGACTGCGTAAAACTACCTCATCCTCACACTATGGTACTTTTTGGTTGACATAATAAGTGATGATCCTCTTGCTTTACTGAGATATCAAAATGGAATGTATGGCAATGCAGGCGTAATTCTGTACACTATCTTTTATCTGGTGATAGATTAATATGTATTGGTTTTGTCTCATCCATAGACCGCTATCTAAATTAGACTACATAACTGTTGGTTCTTTGGTCTACTTTAAAACAAAATGACAGCTGAGTCCATCATTATTATTTTGTTATTGTTGCTAAAGTGCTTTTATCCTGTTCATCAAGTGAGTCATGTTTGTCAGTCAACAATATTATGTAAGGCTGTTAAACAGCAGGCAATCACCAGATACAGCACCATCATGTTCTTTGCTTTTGCTCTTTCCCCTCTTTTCAGTTGAAATGCAATAACTACAATCTCCTCTGTCACCATCCTTTTTCTCCCACGCACACTGGGATAAAGCCAGACCAGACGTAAATCCTGCACTCACACAGCTAAAGCATCATACACTTTAATAGAAATGCTGGTTTGTAGAGATGGAGCGTATTGAGGAATGAAACGATTTCCAGCTGCTCATGTGGAACAATATGAAAAGGTTGAATATTAAAATGTGTTTTACCTGTGGGTTCCCTTTGTCTGGCTTTACCTTATGTGAAGTGAGTTAATTCAGCCAAGGAACTGACACAACATTTCCATCATGGCTTCAAAGAAAATAAAAATATTATTTTCATTCAAGCAGATTCCCAAAGGAAACAGACAGATCATCATTCCTTCTCTGTAGTGGGATTACCAGTCCTAATGGAGACATAAAGCCCAGATGAATGTACCATAAGCATGTTATTATAAGCTAAACCATTTACATCTGAAAAAAAAGGTACGGATAGCATTTGATATAAATAATTAGTATTAATGTTGAGGACTGTTCTGAGTGTTTTTCGTTCAATGACAGACCTTTAGGCTTGTCTAAAGTCACATGGACTTCCAGTTTACATTTATATAAATCACAAAATAACTCCTGTACATGCTGCACAGCTGAACATGAAAGGTGATCCCCATGAGAAGGAACCATACTATTAATGGTTCAGGTGTCTGAAAGCTATAGGGAGAGAGATTGGATGTACATGTACATCCAGAACAGGTCACTAGTCCATCACTGGGCCAATACCAATGAATATATTCACACCTGCAGGCCTTTTGGTAGTTATTTACTGCATGTAACCTGCATTTCTTTTGACTTTGGGAAAAAAACAAGTGTGTCTTAATCCAGGGCCCAAGACGTAATAGCGCATACCATCAAGCAACATTGCTGCCATGGGAAATCCCAGATTCCATTAACGCTAACTATTAATGTACTTATCCCTGAATTCCATTTTCCAACACACATATAGACATGATGGCAGGTCCAATCTGACAGTTGAGCAGGTGCCTCTGTGGTTTTCCTCTCTGCAGCATTACGTTTCTGCTCACTCAGCCATACAGCATTAGAAAGACATCACATTTAGAGAGCATTTGTATTCTTCTCAGTGCAGTTGAGCCCGTACACAGCGCCCTCAAACAACGTCCTCTCTCTCTCCTCTCTCTCTCTCCTCTCTCTCATCTCTCTCTCTCTCTCTCTCTCTCTCTCTCTCTCTCTCTCCTCTCTCTCTCTCTCTCTCTCTCTCTCTCTTCTCCTCTCTCTCTCTCTCTCTCCTCTCTCTCTGCTCTCTCTCTCTCTCTCTCATCTCTCTCGCCTCGTCCATCTCTCTCTCTCTCTCTATTTCCCTTTACTTTACACGTCTCTCTCTTATACACAAACAACACTTTAACAGCCAGAGCTCAGAAGCAGTACTTATCTCACTCTCATTTTAATTAAGCTGACACATTGGAGCACAGTGCTGCCTAGCTATTTATTTCTCTTAGATATAATTCCTATGGAGGGAGACAGCAACAACAGCAACAACTCAGGGTCTCTTACAATGCCTTTCTAAAAAGTTGTTTAGTAAAGAGACTAGTTTGCAGGAAAGACACACCTCTGACGTTGACCCTTGAGGAAGGCAAAGCAGTTTTTCCCCGGCATGGTTTTCTCTGGAGAGCCGGAGCGGTGTGGAGTGGTAACCTGCATGGAGGCGTACGGCTGTCCTCTCTAGGTCTCTAGGTCGCTGTGCCTCTGTGTTCGGCAGGTTCACCATGTAATCTATATGCAGTAACCCGATCACACACACTTTGCCAGTGTCATTAAATTTACATATCTACCCAGAGGAGGGGAAAATATGCTCTCACAACACTTCTCTCTAGATGGAACTAAAAGACCAGTGGAATGCACACAAAATTACAAAAACAAAATTAGAGG